GCTTTCTTGATGTCATCAGTTTAGTGCTCTTTCCCCACTAACTATACCTAGACTTTCCTTCTTCTTTCTCATGCTCCTAACATACTTATAGAACCTGTTCTTATTGCTTTTTAAGTCCCTTGCTAGGTGTAGCTCATTTCATGCCTTAGCCTTTCTGATTTTGTCCCTACATGCTTGTGCATGCTGTTCTTTTGTACTCCTCCTTAGCAATTCGTCCATGTTTCTATTTTTTGTAGGATTCCATTTTGTTTTTCAGGTCACTAAGAGCTCATGATGAAGCCATGTTGACTTATTACTCTTCCTATCTTTCTGTCGCATTGGGATAGTTTGCCTTTAATATTGTCTCCTTGAGAAACTGCCAGCTCTCCTGAACTCCTTTATCCCTTAGATAATTAGTGCAAATGAGAAACCAGGTAAGAGAGAATGCTGAAAGACTTAGAGTTGAGACTGGGCAGCATATTAGACACATGAGTTTACAATGTGCTATAAATATGTTTATGGACTGCATGAGCCAGGAAGGTAACAGTACCTATTCATACAGCTTCTGTGCAAACACTCCTGAAATATTGCTCATGGGCATCGTGTTGCTGACAGAGTAGAGGGATTCCAGAGAACAACAACAAAAGTGATAGGAGGCTGCAGGGGTTGAGATTTAAGGAAAGATTAGAAAATCTAAATCCACAGAGCTGGTTTAAGCAATGACTGAAAAAAAACCCAAACATCTTGGTATTCAAGATAAATATTCAAGGGTGTAAACACAAAGGAGAGGAAGGAATTTTATGATGTTATATACTGGGTTATAAATGGGATAAAATGAATGGAAAAAATAAGGTAAATATCCAGAAAAAGTCTTGATAATGAGTACTGTTAGGTTGTGGACGACTTTACCTGGGAAAATGGTGGGATCAGCAATAACTTGGGACTTTTAAAACTGGACTGTCCAAATTGCTAGGAAATGTATTGTAGAGATACAGACTAGAAGATGTTTTCTGTCTCTTATTTCTTTCACTCTAATGATAGGAAAGTTGCACTATTGTGTTTAAGATTCTAATTTCAACCAATACAAAATATATTTGAGAATATTTTATGTTTTCATTTATTAGGTTTCATTTATTTCTTAGGCCTGGTCTGCACACATAGTTGCACAAGTTTAAAGCTGTGTGTTTAAACTGATTTAGCTAAAGAAGCATAAATACCTGTGAGACTCTCTTAAATCAAGCTAAAACCTGGTTCACATTGTTTTAGGTTGTATCAGTAAACGTACAGATGCAAGATGCACTGATATAAGAGTGGCTGCACAAAGGTTTGCACCAGTTTAACTAAATATGTCTTTAAATTGATTTTAGTTACAGTGGTTCAGCTTTGTGCATTCACAGGACCTTGGGAGTAATTTCTCCTGTGTAAAGTTGCCTTTGTAACTAGGGTTGTATTTTGTGCGTCAGTGACCTTATAGGTACTATACCATTTGTATATAATATACCGTACATACTCATTCATTAGCCCATTCGTTTATAAGCCGACCCCCAAAAATGGATAGGTAAAAACTGTATGACCCTTTCATAAGTCGACCCTCTATTTCAGGTTTGGGAAACTTTGGCTCCTGGCCCGTCAGGGTAAGCCGCTGGCAGATCGGGACGTTTTGTTTACTTGGAGCGTCCGCAGGTATGGAGCCCCTCAGCTCCCTGTGGTCGCGGTTCGCTGGGAAGTGGTACCACATCCCGCAGCTCCCATTGGCTGGGAACGGTGAACCGTGGCCACAGGGAGCTGAGGGGCTCCATGCCTGCAGATGCTCCAGGTAAACAAAATGACAATGTATTAGATATTCAATTCAATGATTCCATAAAGCAGGGGTCGGCAACCTTTCAGAAGTCGTGTGCCAAGTCTTCATTTATTCGTGGTAATTTAAGGTTTCGCGTGACAGTAATACATTTTACATTTACAGGGGCTGGCGGCTGGGACCCCAGACCGGCAGCGGGCTGAGCAGCTCAGCCCGCTGCCAGTCTGGGGTTCCGTCGGCCGGCCCCTGCCAGCAGGGGCTTTGGCAGCAGCGTGCCACAGTAAATCAGCTTGCGTGCCGCCTTTGGCATGCGTGCCAGAGATTGCTATCCCCTGCCATGGAGTTTAAAATCATCAAATTTTGATGTAGATCCGTTTATAAGCCGACCCCTGCTCTTTGATGCGTCACATTTTTACCAAAAATATTCGGCTTATGAACGGGTATATACGGTAAGTTTCAAATTTTCCCAAAGTTTTAAAATAGGTACAATTGGTGTCTTCTCAAGTAAACAAGCGTATGAGTGTTAGGGACAGAAATAGTTAATGATTTGCTATTTCAGATGAAGGTTTGTCATATTGCTTACAGGGACTTAAAATGAGCCAGTGTTTTGAGTGAGTTTTAAGAAAGAAAAAAATATATAGAAACTTAATAACACCGAGCCCCAACTCCCTTTGTTGAAATTCTTTCTGCCTGGTCATTAGTGCAGTGCTTTTTCTCTGACCAAGGTACAGTAGCATTACATTTCAAAACTATACGCTCTTCCTTGTTTTAGTTTAAAATTGCCAGATTGATTATAAATCCAGTTTTTTGGAATGATGTGAAATTTGATATTCAGCATGATGCATATAGGTACTATGAGCTGAAAATTTGAATGAGGCTGTAATAATTGAGATGGCTTCAGATTTATCATGTATGTATACAGTGCAAACTTAGATATAAAATGTATTTTTAAAAAATAGTATATATATTTAAACTCTTATTGTTATGATATTGATATCCATAGAACTTTGACTAATTAAAAATTATTGTGCACCATCACAAGCATTTACTTGTATTGGTAAGTCAATTTATAAAATGTAAGGAGTGGAAAAATCTAGTCATTTGAGATTTTGTTGATATTTTCTGTCCTTGGGCTCTTAACTGTATGATTTTTGTTCTTTTTCAATTATACATTATTTTTAAACTATCTTCTTTGTGTAGTGCAAACCAGAATACAAGGTGCCCGGTCTCTATGTCATTGACTCTATTGTGCGACAGTCCCGGCATCAGTTTGGGCAAGAGAAGGATGTGTTTGCTCCTAGATTCAGCAATAATATCATCAGCACTTTCCAGAATTTATACCGTTGTCCTGGGGATGACAAGGTATGTCTTGTTTCTTCTAAAACAATTATTAGAATTTCATCTTTTCAAAGAAAATTAAAAAGATTTGATGACATTAGTGTTTTATTATAGCAAACCTAATTGTAACCCTTATAATTTCTTCTTAAGGCAATTTAAAAAAAAAATCTGAAAGCATATCTGGTCTGAGGGAGAACGGTATCCAATTAGATCCAGGGGCACTTCTACCTAGGGTGCTTGTGAAGAGAGACAATTGGTTGAAATGAGGTATCTATATGAGAAGAGAGAGCAAGATCTATGTAGAAGTGTACTGCAAAGGAATGTCCCCTCGCCTATTGTGAGGAAGTGGATGGGAAGTTTCTACAAGGTGTATGAAAGGAGGTGATTGGATATGTATTCTCAGGATGGGCCAACACATTTTGGTTCAGAATTGGAAGAGAGAGAAACAGCAATGCAGCACACTTTCCAAATTTATCATATCCATATATGAAAAAATTGTATTGGTAAAATTAGTATAGTCTTGAAATGAATAGAATTGTGAATGATATGAAATACCTTGGAAAGAAAATACAACTTTTATTTGTGGCGGAATCGTTATGCCAATTTTATGTTTGGCAGAGCTGAGGGGGAGATGGTAAAGTTGTTTTAAGCTACCTTTCCACTCCTTTGATTCAGTGAGGGACTGAACAGTTCTAACTTTCATTGTATGGAACAGTTCTTTTGGGGCCGTTCCAGCGAGCCAGGGTCACTGCCAGAATGTCCTTATGCAGGTGGGAGGTAGGAAAAACTAGCAGGAGGCACAGCTAGCTCTACCCCAGCCAAGGAATCTTCCACGCTTATGTAAGTGTTTATTAAAAATACACTTTGTGTATGTTCAATAGAACGTTGACAAATCAAAAGCAGTTTTCCTGAGAACACACAAAAGCATTCAATGAAGGCTATTTCTGTATCAGATTCAACTTCCTATCTCCTGAAATTTCTGTGCTAGAGTTGTTCATGAGAAGGCTGTGAGAACATGGTTTTATAACATGGAAAATTACTCTTTTCCCCTCTTCCCCCGCTCCCAACTCTGTCACGTTTTTTAAAAGTTGCTAAATGTAGTTTTGTTCAAACTTTCAAAAAAATCACCTTTGGGCAGAGTTAAAACACAGAAAATTTCAGCATATAATTGAAGGTTTTGGAGAGCTAAGAGCAACTCAAAACAGATTTAGGATGAAAGCACCTTTTGTAAGCTTAAGTTGATTTAAAATGAGCTAGTTAAATTGACATCACAATTCTCTGTATGAAATTGCTGAGACTATGGTTTCATAGTTTCTTGCAGCGTGCTAAAGGAAACTGACATCTAAGTCCAAAGTTCATCTATATTACTGCAATACTGTTTAATTATTGTAATTTGGTGTGAAAGCTCTTCCAGATTAATACTTTCAAATATACTACTTCATCAACAAAATTACATTTTAAAAATAGCCTCTAGCATGACTTACACACACAGTTTTGGGCTCCTTCTGCTGTCTCAGCAGCAGTAGGTAACTGTCATTATTCTGAGTTGTGCACATTTCAGTGGACACAAATGATGCTGGTGCTCAGAGGTAGATAAATTTGAGCCATGTTTAATATGTGCTTGTGTTAAAATGCTAGGAGGGGAGGAAAGATTTCTAGTTTTTAAGTGTCGATAACTCTTAAATTATTCCCTTAAGATAATTTTCTAGTGTTATTCCCCAAGAATATGAGTACAGAATTTGGAGAAGCCAAACTAATACTTTTCTAGTATGCTTCTAAATACGCAAGCCTTTCTATCTTCATAAATTGACAGTATCAAACATGATAGTCATCATATAATTTTCTAGCCTTAATCCTTTTGTTGTCCTATTTTTCCTTTAGAGTAAAATTGTTAGAGTGCTAAATTTATGGCAGAAGAATAATGTATTCAAGAGTGAAATTATTCAGCCTCTCCTGGATATGGCAGCAGGAATTCCTCCTCCAGTTGTGACTCCAGTCTTGCCCAGTACAACAGCTGCTATGAGCAACAATACACCAGGTAAAGGAAAATGGGATATAAGTCTCTCAGTGAATTGGAAAGCTTGCTTCAACATTTGTAACAGAATTTTCTGTTCGGCTATCATCATTTGTCAACTTGACATGCTTGAAATTGGACCAAATTTTTCACTAGCCTCCAGGCAAGTATTAAAACTAAATTGAATGGTTTGAAGGGCGAAAATTGATCTACTAATAACTAACCAGCATGTAGATCAGGGAAGTTCCATAAATAGAAAGTGACCATGCCAGTTACATTTACTTCCCAAACACACATGCTTTCTTTAATTGTAATATGCAGTTTGTCCAAGGGTGCATTGATTTAAATCAGAGCAATTTAAATTACAGATTTTAATCATGATTTAAATATCAAGTGATAAATCTTGATTTAAATAATCAGTTTCAATTTTGTTTTGCATTTGTACTTGTTATTTTCCTAAAGAAGAGTTGATTCTCATTAAAATGTTGAATTGCAATATAATATAGACTTTACCCTAAAATTGGAATTTCTTTTTGCTAACCAGGAGGATACAGTGTATCTATGCACATTTATTTAAGCATTTTATATAGCATTTACATTTACTCAGATTCTTAGTTTTTACATTTTTTATTATATTAGAAAATGGTGAACAGTGCATTTTCTTGTTTACTGGATGATTCATTTTTGTGATTTGTGTCAACTCTATTTGGATGGAATTTGGAATTAAAAATGCACAAAAACAGCATTGTAATGTTTTTATTTCTTAAATAAAACCATCTTAAATGTGCTGGATACATAAGAAAAAAGTTCATCAAAATATGTTTTGCATTTAAAACAATTGATTTATAAATCAAAAGAAGTATTATTTGTAGCTAGTGAATTGAACTGATTGTTTCGGGTCACCATGTCCTCCAAGACTTCAGAACTAGCAGATCTCATCCTTTCATACTTAGTTTCTATTCACAGATTGGAAGAGGAAAGCAAGCTTTCCTCTTTTTTCAACTTCCATTCAGTTTCTTAACTTTGAATGAACTAGTCATTGAACTGAACTAGTTGAATAAATTGAAATGAAGAATATATTCTCTCTTCACCTGCAAAAAAGGCTTCTGCTGTCAAAATTTGGTTTAGCACTTCTATGAACTTTAGTTCCAGGTACTTAGCCAGTAACTTCCACTTCAGTAGTTGACTTTCTTAAAAACTTTGGCAACAAACCTGTACTGCTTAGTATTACAATTTAAATCATATTACAAAATTAATAGATTATTGTAAATTTAGGTTTATCATAGGTTGTCATTTCAAATTTAATTTTAAATAGGTTTATTGAAAAAATATATTAAAATTTAAGAAATCCAATTTAAATAAAAAAATCCAATTTTTATTTTTTTCAACAAACTTCCACCCTGGTTTATCGAGTAAGAAATGGTTTTATGGGTTCAAATACAAATAATGGGTCAATGAAAAATCATCGGGGGGGGGAACCTCGTTAAATATTGGTGCCATAAATGTGTGAGAATCTCTTATTGAGGATCATTGTCTTGCATTTACTTCAAGCAAAATTTGTATATCTATTTGCTGTACATATGATCATACTCAACTGATAATCTAAGGAATTGCTCTGACATTGCCTGTAGTCAGGGAGTTTGATTTTCTTTTGTTTGTGTAGACTTAATCAGACTAATATACATGAAATAATTTAAATGTGCACTATTTATGTAGAAAATCCAAAATATAGATCAACTTATTTATACCCATTAGTTTGTGTGTGTGTTTGTATGTATATATATGTATATAGTTTATTATGTGAACTAGGTAAGCACTTTGCTTGAGCTTCATGTCTCTTTTGTGCATTTTTTTTATATTCGTACTCTTTTTACTGCATTAAACTGCTGGTATCATCACTTATTACCGTACTAACACTTTATGAAATCTGACGTGGATTATTTTTTAAAACATTATTGCAGTAGTTTGGATTTGGCATTGTTCAGCCCTTGCCTTCACTTCTGAGTTACAGGAAGGGAGGGGGTTTGCTCTGACATCTGGAGCAGAATTCATCAGAACTACAGCATGGAACTAATCAGCAAAATACCAGCCTGGGAAGTCTTACCTTTTGACTCAGAAATATTTGTTCCCAAAGGAATTTGGATAGGAGAAAGACAAAACAGAGGAGACTCTTACCCCTGGAATCTGACCGCTGTGGGTGAAAATTATGAGTAAAGTAGGCAGGTCCAGCCTGGGGATGAGCTGGGAGAGTGCAGCAAGGTTGCAGGTTACTGGACATCTTTATTATAGTCACCTGTGGAGCAAGTGTATCTCTTCCCTAAAGTTTTATCTTGCAGCAGGCCAGGAGCTGCTTCCTTCTCTAGGGCCAACATCTCTCCAAAGCTAGAGTTGTTCACCTGTTTCCTCTTCTAGCAGTTGCTCTATTTGTATGAATATTTTAAATATTTTAAAATTTATCATCTGTACTGTAGTCTACAATGAAGACTACTGAGTCCTTTGGGTAGCTGAATATTTGCCCAAGTGTGAAACCTACCTCTTCCGTGATGTCTACAGATCACTATCTTATGATATTGGTTTGGCCAATAGTAATATGTGATTTCTGCTTTTCTGTTTAACTCTTTTATTTTATTGCTGCCTTATCCCCTCAACCTACCCTCACCCCATTTGTCTGTTTTTGTTCACTTGCTGTGTCTTGTCTGAAATGTTGATTGTGAGCTCTCTTTCTTAAGTTGGGATTTTCTGTTTTGTTACGTGTCTGCTCAGCACCTAGCAAAATGGGACTCTTGATCTTTGATAACACAAATAAGAGCATTTCTATGGAAAAAACATTTTTAACTACAGTTTTATAATTTATACTATGTCTTTAAAGTGACTTAGCCCAAGGCAATTTGTAACATCAAAATTGACTGTGTTCCTCATCTTTCCTGATTACATCCATCTTGTAATGCTGCTAAGTTTAAAATAGTATTAAGGATTGTTCATTGGTCCAATAGTATTTTGGAGCATGGTAGTGACTATTGAACATTTTCACCTGTATTTTCAAACATGGCCATCTCTGTAGTTACCAGAAGCCATTACCATCTGATGACTAAAAATGAATTTGAAACCAGTTCAGATCTCCCTCAGTTCCCCTAAAACACAAGAGAAGTTCTCCATAATAGAGGAGACTCCCTCCAAATTTCAGATCACAATGAACACTACCACATTTTGCCTTCAGTGGCATTCTTGTTGGCAGTCCCAGCAGACAGGCCAACAGTAGAATGTGTCATGAGATTCACTTACAGGTATTTCTACCAATTGAGGCACATTGGTGGGGAAGTTTGCATTACTCCTGCCATGCTGTGCTGTTCTGTGTATAAAGAAATTGATGGTTTCCATGGATGTCAATGTGGCACTTATTCAGAGCACTACATTTAGTACCAAAACTTTTTTTTTTACATTACAAACCCATATTTCATTTCAGACATTTAAAAATCGCTACTTAGAAGTGTAACCTTTGTGGCTTCTTACAGTTCAAAAATTGTTTTTATGCAGTTGGTCCATAATGTAAAATAAACTGCCATATTCAGTGAGACTCTGAATTGCAGTTTTAATTTTTACTGCTGTACTTTATGTATATGAAAAATGGTATGTTAACAACACTTAACTCTACCTTGCTTTCCCTCTTTCAGGAACTCCTGTGACCCCTGTTACTCCAGCCAATGTGGTACAAAGTTTACCTGATCCTTGGGTGTCTCAAATTGCTAATACAGATACACTTGCTGCTGTTGCACAAATCTTACAAAGTCCCCAAGGCCAACAGGTAAATACTTTTTGTAGGTAATTAGACTTTTGTACTGTATGTAGTCTACAGTGTTTGTGTATGACAGATACACATGAGAGTATTTATCAGTGTTGTTAATCTATTTTTAAAAATTTGTCCTCAGTATAGCCAGTTCATAGAGATCATTCTCCAGAGATAAGTTTGAAGCAACATTTAACAATTCTTTTTATCCTTTTTGAAATTCTCTTGGTTCACTGAATGTATCCAAGAAGGTGACATCAGATACCAGAAAAAGCTTCATTGCAGCCCATACAATGCATGGTATTTACAGAGGGAGCCTTCTAGCATATCTTCAGTGAATCGGGAAGTAACAAAATATTTTTAATTTGGGGGGTGAGGAGTGCCTTAAATGATAGTTAAAACTTATTTCTATGCTGAATACATCCTGTAAGTTAAAACACGTCTCTGTGTAGTGGAGGATACTCAACATAGACGTCTGTGATTAACTCAATTCTAATTTTTCTTTTGCAGTTCACCTTTAAATATTCCGTTTACTTTCATTCTCAGGATATTCAGGAAGTTATCAGTATCCTTAATATGACTCTTGGTCTACATTTTCAAAAGTGACTGAATTTGGGTACCTCAGTGTATGAATGCCCAGCTTGATACATCTTAGATACCTGATGCTGAGAAAATGCTGAGCATCTGTTCTCTGAAAATCAGGCCATGTCAACATTCCTTAAGTTGGACACTGAAAATCAGTAGCCCTTTTGAAAATGTAGGCCCTCATCTTCAGGTAATAATGGCATACACTGCTACTCTGGCAGTCCCTACTATCCCAATTTGAGTGGGCTGCAGTGGTGGCCCTGTATGTAGGAGATGTTCAATGGCTGCTATGTTGGGGCACTAAAAATATCCCACCCAATTTAGTGAGTAGGGACTGCCACAGTATCAAGCACCAGTCCTGATGTTGCCATCTCAAGGGCTAAAAGTGCAACCGTTTTGCTGTGTTCAGATAAGCCGAGCCATCTGTAACTGGCCAGAAGTCTGAGGCAGGAAGAGTTTTAGTCTGGTCATGACTCAGGGAAATTGACAATGGGAACTTGAGTGAGAGGGTACCGGAGTGAGGTGGCTAGCCTGTCAAGAGAGGTGGGGCAAAAAGGTAACATGGAATAGGGGAAAGTAGGATTTGGTAGGGGTGGTGTCCTAGAGAAGGAGAGATGTAAAGTAAGAATGGGGAGATGTGGAGTAGGAATTGTATGAAAGCTCAAAGATTGCTGGCCAGAGGATATTTAAAAAAAAAAAAAGAGGAAGGAAGAAGAAACAACAATAAAGGAGAAAAACTAAAGACTGTACAGACCAGAAGGGAGTTAGTCTTTAAAAGATGGCAGAAGGTACAGAAATAGCTTGTGGATCAAAAGATAAGAGAAAGGAAAGATGGGACGCAGTAGGAGTATGGCAATATATATTGAAGATAACATTAATATATAGAGGAAGGGAAAACGAGGTCTTAGGTAGTTAGATGATTCCCTCCTTCACATTTTAGAACTGTATTTTGTAGAAACAGTAAAAGGAGAGAGAGATGGTACCCAGCAGGAGTATAGAGACAGGCAGGATGGCGACCAATCATCCAAGATTTTCCCATTCTAGGGCTTCCTCCTCAGCTTCTTCAGTTTGATTCCTGCCTCACTCAGAGCAACACACAAGAAGTTGACGTCAAATGGTGGCTAGACATGGCCATAGTCTCTTAAGCACACACATGCAGAAAAGAGAACACCTCAGCTGTATCCCTTGCAGTCGGTTCTTTCCCCTGGGTGCCTTAAGAAATTTTCTGCTCTGACTGAACAAAGCCTCCACCCTGTTAGTGGAATAAAGCAGTGGCTGAAGCGCTTTGTGGCCTATGACAGACAAAATCAGCTGCCCAATTTCACTAAAAGGGGAGACAAACTTCCTCTCAGCAGCAGAGGCTCTCTACAAAGCATTAGTGGAGCAAGGCATCAGTTCATGAATTTTTGTGAGGTTCTACAGACTTCCCAGTGGCTCTTAGTAACAAAGTGTCACCATCTTCAGGAAGCATGACACCAGGGAAAAAGAATCTGACTATCCCACTCATCAGCTTGAACCTTTAGCAAGCTGGAGGTTGAACCCTAAGAAAAACTGAGGCTTACAAACTAAGTTCACTAGGAGTAAGATCTTTGACAAAAACTTTTTGTATGAAGTCTAAGATAGTTGGGATTCCAGTTCATCCAGCTGGGAAAAAACCCTCTGTCCTGCATTATGTAGAAAAAAATTCCCACATCAGAATTAAGGTGAGAGAAATCGAAAAGGGGTACTCTGGCCTCCTGAGGGCAGTATGGGCTGGACCACGCAAACAGATACCCAACCCCTTCAAGAGTGCCGAACAAGATCCAGAGACTTATGGTACTGGGGTCTTATCTCATGAAAGTATTGAAGCACCTACTCCTTCTAGTCTGAGGTTACCTTGGGGAGAGCCTCTTTCCATATGGGTGAGCTTCTTTCCCCTTTGCACTAGCAAGGTAGGTAGGTACTATCTGAGGGGAGCTTCTTCACTTGGTAGATTTGTAGTTCTTTGCCCTGAAGACGCTTTTCAGGTAGTAATAATTTTATTTCAGAAGACTCTTCATGTTTTCCTGTAGTCTTCCATATTTAGAATTCCGTAGTGGTACATCTATCATAGATCTTTTTTTTCAAAAGTCACAGCTTCTTTGTACCCATCCCAGCAGAGTCATGGACATCTGGGCTGCAGAGGGAAGGCGTCAATAGAAAAGATTTGCAAATTTCCCTGTACTTCTTGTTTTTTAAACTGCTCGTTATCTGCTTAATGTGCAGATGCCACCCTTAGCTGCAGAGTGCTTGGACCACTCCGTTCAGGAGAGATGATGGAGGCCTTTGGGGTTCTTGTTCCTCTTATTATCCATCTTGTGCCTTCAGGCTCCCTCTTCTGATTCAACCATGAGTCTCCAGTTCTCTCTTCCTAGAGTGTTTTCTCATGAAATACTGCTGTACAGAACCCAGTATCTGTTCTGTCGCAAAATGAGCCACAAAAAGGCAAATTATATTCCCATTTACTGGCTAATTTGCTTTTTGTGGCTTGGTTGAGACAGCACAAACTCCTCCCACTGTTAGACTTGCTAAGCCCAAGCTTCAACATGAGACTTGCCTTGTAGGCAATATAGATACCCAAGTGCAAAGCCTTGATGTAGACATGCTGCACCAGCATAAAATGGAGCATGTACCAGTGTAACTTATTCTGCATCAGTGTAGCTACACTGGTACAACTTTTCCTAATCTAGATGGGCTCTTAAGAGGGTAGAGCAGGCTAACAGATTATTTTACAGATCAGAAGGAATCAAACTGGAGAAGCAGAAGAGGGAACCCTAGAAAGCAGAAAAATCCTGGCTTGTGATTGGTCGTCATCTACCTGTCAGCGAATTAGGAGGTGGAACCTCATGTCTACAGTATCTTGTCTGAGCCGCAGAAAACAAATTAGCCAGTAAGTGGGAATATAATTTTCTGTAATTACGAACAGACTAAACTGAAATTATAGCCCTGAGATAGATATACTGCACTGGTGAGATCTTTATTCATGAGAAGGGCAAAAAGCTAGCTGAGTTATTTTTTTGTTAATGTAGTTATCACTCTCTTTCTTCCAGCTTCAGCAGTTAATACAGACACTGCAAATACAACAACAGAAGCCACAGCCTTCACTACTTCAAGCGCTGGATGCTGGTCTTGTCGTTCAGTTACAGGCCCTCACAGCACAACTTACAGCTGCAGCTGCTGCTGCCAACACACTTAATCCACTGGAACAGAATGTCTCTTTTAACAAGGTAGAAGTTGGAGGACCAAGTTTGAAGAAATGCACTTACTGTTTATATTTAAAGTCTTCACATGGGTTGTGTCTCTATCTTTAGTGACTTCTTAAGAGTGCATGACTGTGCTACAGAAAAGTTCTTTGCACATAGGCTTTTCCAAATACAAAAATTATTTTCTTTAGAGAGAGTTATACAAAAACACAAATGATGTATTTTGTATAATTTAAGGGCAAAAGACATTTTTCAGAAGGCTAGAGTTAATTTCCATTAGTAAAGCAAAGTCATTGTTGTATTTCCTTCTATAATTGTGTAGGAGGAGGATCTGAATTAATGAGTTTGAAGATTATCTGCACAAGAAGGAAGGTTGGGCTTGTATGTTTTTGCCTTCTCCCCTCACCCTTCCTTTATGGCATACAAAGAAAGTCTGAAAGGTTTTCTCAGGGGGAAAAAATACTGTAGAAATTCAGGTCTTATGTACCCTAGTTTTCCAATAAGACTATAGATCACTGGAGAATCAGTAGGTTTGTTACATCATAAATACCCAAGGAAATAACTATAATTGAACTTCAAAGTTCAACTATAATTGAACCACAAATATAATCAAGTTTACATTCTTAGCAGGAGGATCATATGAAAGCTAGCCCTGTGACACCTAAACTTTAGAGAGGGATTTTGTTTTTAAAGGGATAACCTAATCAAAAAGACCCCAAAAGTGAGGAAATTAAAATCCTTAGACATACTATGGAGGTTATGTAAGTATGCTGAATAGAGCACAGAAAGCATGCATATTTTGTTTGTTTGTTTTTGTTTTTAAAAGGGAAGAGGGAAGCCAAGAAGAAAACGGAGTTGAATGGCAAGGTAGATGAGCGTACAGTAAACTATGGCAATGGTAAAATGTAATGTTAGGAAGGTTTGGAGGAAATTTGAAGATGAAATAACCAGAGACATAAAAACAAGTTATTTCAGTATATAAAAAGCAGGAAGTCTGTGAGAGGATAGTCTCTACTGGATTATTAGGGAGGATAAGGATGTTGTAGAGAAGCTAAATTATCTTTTCATCGGTCTTCACCACAGAGGATGTTGGGAGCTACCTATCCCAGACCATCTCTTTTCAAATAATTAGCAGAAAGAATCCCCAGACAAGTGTGAAGCAGTGGTAATATCTTATAAGTCTGTGGTAGTTAGTGTGGAGGAGGCTAAGTGTTTGAGTATAGGCAGCTATGACTAAACCAGACTTTGACATGGCTGACCTAAACCAGAGTTTTGCCTTAGCAAAGAGGTGTTAGGCTTTGTCAGCCATTGCTCAAGTGCTCTGTTCCTAGAGTGTCTATAGCATCTGTAAGAATAGAATGGTAGTAGGTGTGGTGTTGGGGCTTCACAGTTTAGTTTGCATTGAAGAGATGGTGATACTATAACTCTAATTCCTGTTTTCTGAAGTGGGTTGTGTTACCGTAACTCTTCATTTCCTAGTTTTCAGAGGTTTGAGTCTAGCTGAAATACATTCGGGATAGACATGAGACACCACAGGGCAACTTTAAATTTGTGTATCATTTAAGCCCTTGAACAAATGACCAAAATGGTTGAGTATGAGTCGTGCCCTAACTGCTTACTAGAGTCTTTTCATCTTCCCTCTAATTAATGTTAATTTCCTTGACAATACTTTTAAAGTGAAATCAGTCTGACTGTAAATTTTTTGAGATAAGGACTACCTTTTTGTTCTGTGTTGGTAAAGTACCTAGCATAGTGCCTGGTCCATGACTGGGGTTCTTAGGTGCTACAATAATACAATTAATTATTAAATCCCAAATGGCTGAGATTAGTTTGGGAAGGATTGGCTCTCCAGGTGTGCACCAAAAAGTCATAAGAATGGGTGATTTTTGTAAACAAATTATTTGTGTATGGGGAGGGAGCTGTGTCTCTGGAACCGCTTGCTCAAGTGACCCAAATTTAGACCACCCTCCCTGCATTCCCATGAGATGCATCAAATTTCAAGACAAAACTGAATTCAGTACATGCATTTTAAAGCACCTAGAATAATGGTCTTTTAATAGTAAGTGATTTTCAACCTTAACTAAGATGAGGAACTGTGAGAGATCTTGGTGTCAAAAAGGTAGGTACTGGAACAAAACGATAAATTAAACAGGGACAAATCACCAGCACCAGATAGTATTCATCCAAAAGTTGTTAACAGAATATTCAATCTCTTAGTCTCTGCAGAGGATTGGAGGGTAACATATTGTTATATCTATCTTTAAAAAAAGCTACCTAATAGTAATTATGGCAATTATAGACCCATGATCTGTAGTTTGTTAACAAGAAAAATAAAAAATGAAGTGGAACGTAAGCTAGGATCAAACTACACAGCTTCTGTGTAGTAAATTGTGCTTGTAGAACTTTTTTGAGTGTCAACAAAATGGTCATGAAGGAGAACCACGTGAAATATTTATCTGGACTTTCAGAAAACCTTCTGCTACTACTCCGAGTAGCATCCCTGTGGGTACTCCACTTTAGGTGCGCATGCACCCATGCGCTTTTAATCATAGAATTTTGGTGGTAGTGCCAGTTCATCCTGCACATGTGCCCTACATCCTTGTGCCCTGTACCAAAGCTATATAGGGCTGCATAGGTGAACCGCCCTCAGTTCCTTCTCAACCGCCTTCAGTCTGAGATGGAGTCTAGCATATGCCTGTTTGCTCTGTACTTGTTTACCTCTTTTATTAATGTTAAGCTGTATAGTTAGCTAGTAGAGTAGAATTTAGTGCCTTATATTTGGAACGTTTGTTCCTTTTTTCCTTTTCCAGGAGAAAATTTGTTTTTCTTTTCTTTTCCCCTCTTTCAGGGTTTGAATAATGTTTTTCTTCTGTCAGAGATGCAGAGCTCCCTGAGCTTTTAAAGGTGCCTCTTGTGTTGAAGAGCAGTCCCCGTTAGTACAGACATGCCCACTGCATTTGTTGTTTGGGAGACTCTCACATTCCTAGCAAGTATAAAATCTGCTCATCCTTTGAAGGAAGAGCCTATAAAAACAGGGAAATGAAGTATAGAGTTTTAATGATGGAGCAAGTCTTAAGACTGGCTTCAGACCCCTGCTCAGGGAAACCCCCTGTACAGGGACCTTCCATGTCTGTCAGTGCCCTGTCGTCATTGAGACTATGGTCACCAAAAGCTTCCAAGGGGGATGATGACACTGAAACCCAGGTCTGCAACATTCTCTATTATTGAGATACTGATAACTGTATCACTGGTACTGAGAGCTTCCCACTCTTAAGTATAAGGAAGGGGAGAAGAAGAGCAAAACATCAGAGTGTTCTTTTTTTAAAGAAGATGCAGTCACCGGACACATCAGTCCCTGAGAGACGTGCTAGTGAGGCTCTGGGTACTTCGGGTATTGTGGAGCACACTAAGACTTCATCTGAGACCCATACCTTCGTGATAAAAAGCTCGGTACTGAAGAAGACTATTTCCTAGAGATCAGCTTCAGTGCAGCCCTTGACACCCTCGGTACCAGTGTCAGTGCCTCTCATGGCCTCTGCAATGTCATCGGCACTGATACTGAGTTCTCTTGTATTTCCAGTAGCACAGGAATTCCGGTACCCAAGGAAGCTTGCGGTACCGAATGAGCCTGAGTCTCCGCTCCTTGCAACCTCCGGACGCCTCTCAGTACCGAGGTCTGCTGGGCCACCAACTGCTTATGTTTCTGGGAGACCTGCCTCTTCTCCTTCTTCAGCTATCCACTGGGTTGGGGGAAAAGGGGGATTGTCACATCCTTTACCATATATAAGGATCATTCCGACTCCAGACTCTGAACTTTTGATTCAAGGATCTCACAATTTATTCTAGGAGATGTTGTTCTCTGTTGCAGATGCAACAAAGGCAGGGCACCAGACCGTTGCTTTCCTTGGGAGGACCAGTGCTGGATTTCCCGCCCCCACCTCCACTCCCACCCCCACACATTGTAGTCTTCTCCATTGGCCTTATTGGGATCCATGGACAATGTATCAGCAACAATTTTGAGGGACCTCAACTCAGTCCCACAGGGAACCCAAAAGACTTAATTACCTGGTACCTTCCATCCCTCCTCCCCATTCTGTGAGCCCCAGGGGACCTTTGAGGAGAAAGATGCAAGATCGGACAAGGAGGTTACCCCCTTACAAACCGCTTACAAACACCTGATAAGGCAGTAATGCCACCATTGCCATCATTAGCTGATGACTTCAGGCAATTTCAGGACTTGATGAAGTGGGTTGCTGACATCTTGCAGAGTCCCCTATAAGTAGTCCAGGATTCCCATCACAAGCTCCTGGACATATTGCCCATCTCTACCTCAGAATGGGTGACACTGCCAATTAATGAAGCCCTCCTTGAGCCAGCCAAGTCTATCTGGTAAACTCCCCTTTCTCCCCCGCCCCCATGTAAGAGAGCTGATTTAAAAAAAAAAAAATACGAAGTCCCAGCCAGGGATTCCGAGTTTTTATTCTTTCACCCAGCACCAAACTGTCTGGTTGAGGACACAGCAAAAGGGGCAGGCAACATATCCAAAAGGCCAACCCTTATAATAAAGACAAGAAACATCTGGTCATAAGAGAGACAATCAATTGTGGAGGATTTACTTTTCAACGATTAGAAGTTTTTTGCAGATTCCACAGACACTTCACACCCTAAAAGACTCTGGGGCAACACTTAGGTCTTTAGGGTTATACGCACCTGCGAATAAGTGAAAATTTAGTGAATCTCAGTCGGCACAAAGATCCCACCCTACTAAATTTTCCACCTTCCGTAGAACACCAGACATCAAGATTTTCAAAGAAAAAGCCTACAACTACCGTGGCTGTGTCATCTCAACTTTCAGTGTCTTCAAATGCCAGTTTTGATGTTTTGGTTGAGAGTCCAGACCACCCAATGACCAGATTCTCTCAGCTGCATGACACAACCTCCCTTCTTCAATTTTGGTGCCGCCTTTCTCTATTTCATGAAGCATGGGCGGCTATAACTTTAGACAGATGGGCATCGGAGGCCATTTTTTCCGATTATGCTATCCAGCTTATCTCCATCCAACCCCCTTTCCCTGTCTCTACTCAGAAACGCCTCTCATGATCTATTGCTTACACAGAAGATCTCATCCCTTCTAAGTCTAGGAACCATAGATACCTGAGATCTGCCACTCAGACTAGTACCAGTATCTATGGCATCTCATTCCCTCTGTTGGCAGGTATTCTTGACTACATGTCCAATTTAGAGGAGTATGACGGTCTAGAAGCAGCAATCCTTTCTTGACCAGCAAGAGGAATTGAATATTTCTCAACTTCTCCTGAGGATTTGCTCATCTCACTTGTTTCACCAACTGATGATTTCATATTGTTCCAGAAGTTGCTAGGACATGTCCAAGAAAAGACTCACTCGCAGTTCCAACACCAGGAATCCAAGAATACAGTGACATTCCGTATTTTGTTAATGATGGGCTACTGGAGTTTACCAAACATCATCCTTGCCCAGGGTAAACGAGATTTCATAACTTAGATGTCAAGAAGGCTTTGACATTTTATTTGGTAGAAATGAGGGCTTGATCCCTTTACAGTAAGGCTATTTTACACTGCACTTATACCCAAGCAAACTTAGTGCAAATGAGAACACTAGATGGGGACGACTCTGAGTTACTATAGAGAGTATCTGCCTAGGAGGTCTTGCCCACATGTTCAGGGTCTAACTGATTGCCATATTTAGGGTTGGGAAGGAATTTTTCCCCAGGTCAAGATTGGCAGAGACCTGGGTGTTTTTTTCCTTCCTCTGCAGCATGGGGCCCAGGTCACTTGCAGGTTTAAACTAGTGTAAATGTTGAATTCTCTGTAATTTGAAGTCTTTAAACCATGATTTGAGGATTTCAATAACTCAGCCAGAGTTTTCAGGAGTGGGCGAGGTACTGTGGCCTGCAATGTGCAGGAGGTCAGACTAGATGATCATGATGTCCCTTCTGACCTTAAAGTCTATGAGAATCAGGACCTCAGGCATTTAGGAATTGAGCAAGACTTCTTGTAGCCTTTGGAGACCAATGTAAAGGGAATGCCATTTATATTTAGTGCCTGTCTTAAGTGGATTAGGCTGTGCACCAAGACAGATATGTTGTACCTTACCTAGGGTGTCAGTTGCTCAGGGTCTTAGAGTGCACTCTACCATGGCTAAAGTGTCATCTGTGGCCTTATATAATGTTTTCTTCATATATAATGAAGAATATGTTATATTCTATAATGTTTTCTTCATTGAAATCTACAGAGTTGCTTCCTGGAGTTCTGTACACACATTTGCACAGCACTACTCTTTTTACTTCTAAATCTGATGCTCACTTTGGGAAAGTAGTTCAATAGAATCCTTGCTTTAATACGAGCCGCATAGCCAGCCTTTTTTAGAGGTTTGTATCGTTTGCTAAACTCCCCTAATTTAGAATAAGCAGAGGCCACCCTGAAGAAGGAAAAAAACTATTTACTCATGTTAACTAGTTATTTAAGATTACATCCTCTGTGTACCTCCTTACCTTCTCCCCTCTCTCTAAATTCCGCTTTCATAAGACTGGTGTTTAGCAGAAGGAATTGAAGTGGTTGGTGATATAACTTTTGCTGAATGTTCAGTGCTGAGCAGGAGCGCCGCCAGCTTTTCTGCGGCCCTAGGCGGCGGAAGGTCCCGCCCTGAAATGCCGCCCCCCACAGAGGCGGCGGAAGGTCCTGTCGCCGAAATACCGCCGCGGTCGCCGCCCCCCAAATTGTAGCGCCGCGGTCGCCTAATGGGTTGCGCCAGCCCTGGTGCTGAGAGAGAGCACTTGTGAGGCACTGCAAGTGCAGAGACAACACTCTTGAAGAACTACCACAGTTTCCAAGGCAAATAACTTGTGTTTCTTAATCCATATATTTTGTTCGTATCTTTGATTTTTTTCCCCCCTTAAAATTAAATCATTATTGAAAGAAATTCCTTGGACATCCATAAGCGGTATCTAACAGGTAATTCTTCTTCAATGCCATGTTTGCCGTTGGCATTGGCCATAGTAATTGGCTGACTGCTAAAGGAACAAGCACGCACACACACAGATTATATATAATGTTTTACCTCAGGAGAGTAGTCATTTATTTACTATTGGGCAACACATGTTCTTCTTGGATTAACAGGCAGAACTTAAGAATGATGCAGCCAAGGGTTTTCTATTTAAAAGAATGGTCTGCTTTCCTACATTAAGTCATTGCAGAAATAGAAACTTCCTGTTTTTAGATTACGAAGTATTTTGTATGGTTTGGTAGGGAACATGTTTTAAAATATGCTCTTTCTAATGCTTGATTCATTTTCTCCTAGAAGCTGATGGACAGGTTTGATTTTGGGGAAGAGCCTGACCTCAGTGAAGAGCCTAAAAAGGAAACTCCCAATTCCCAACTGTAAGATCAGGTTACATTCCTTTTAAATTAGATTAATTTGATCATTTTTCCTATTAAACATTACAATAATTGAACATTCACTGTGAAAAGTAGACCGGCTGTCTGGTCCTTCAGTATATGTAAACTACTATACTGGAGCAGTGGTAACAGAGAACGATTTACATGAATTTGAATGATAAACGTATATGTTTTAAATGTTTAATACAACATCTCTACCATTGCATGAGAACCCTTCAGCTGGATGCCTACCATTTTAAAACAGAGAGAGTGAGAGTTTGATCTGAAGATAGCGCTCTACTTAGATACAAAATTCTGCAAATTTTATTTGTCAAAATAATGCAATATAATCACACCAGTTTCAGTCGTTTTGGTAAGTTGTTTAAACTACAATACTGAAAAAATTCACTAACTATTCAGCATCTTCTAAACACATGAAAGTTAAGTTGCAAATACTTGGGAACTAATTCATTTCAGTTATAATCCTGGATTTTCATTTAAGTTACATTACAGAACACCAAACAGGAAAAAAAAAGTAGAATGTCATTTTAAATTGCTCAGACTTTCACACATGAAAGTCATACAGTTTTGCTAATCATTATCTGGACCTAGCTGGGTACTTTGGGAAGTGCTTGGTTCTGATTGTCCTGACATTTTATTGACTGCTTGGTAAATGTTTTATTTGCCCTCAAAAGTCTTCTTTTTTTTTTTTAATGGGTAAGTAAAAATCTAATCCCATTGTGCCACTTTGGCACAGGAAAAAAGTGAGAAAGCGCATAGATCTTCCTAGTTGATTCCCTTACTGTCCTTCATTAGGCTTTACTTCACTCTGACAATGTAGGGGCTTTAAAACTTTTACAGGTTTTTATGCTCCTGGGGGAATTGACGGAGAATGGGAACAGTTAGCTAACAATAAAATAATTAACCATGTTACTATGCAGACAGGTTGCTACATTTCTGCCTCAGAGAATGAGATCAATTAACCATCAAAAGAAACATTAACAAAATGCGGTGTTTTTTTTACAAAAGCTATTTTCTTTAACTCGCCTCTGGAGCAGCAGTATCAAGAAAGAGGGACAGAGTCTCTCTTGCTTGTTGGCCAGCCCCGCCCCCTATGGTGAGCAATGTCTGTCCTGCAGGCACGCACACGGAGCCCCCCTCCCCACGCAATGATTTGCATCTCAGGCATGCTGGAACAGACGCCCGGCCTGGGCTGCCGGGAAAGAGACATGTGTCCCCGCGCAGATTTCTTTTGTGCTTTTCTGCACGGGGGGGCACAGAAATATGCAGGCCATATGAATTCTGCACCCCAACATGGGCGCAGAATTCTGTCAGGAGTAATTTAGAGTAACATTCTTATATTCTTCTTCGAGTGCTTGCTCATATCAATTCCAATTAGGTGTGCGCGCGCCGCGTGCACGATCGTCGGAGAATTTTCTACCCTAGCAACACCCGATGGCTCGGCTGTGGAGCCCCCTGGAGTGGCGCCTTCATGGCGCTGGATATATACCCCAGCCGACCCAGTGCCCCCTCAGTTCCTTCTTACCACCCGTGACGGTCGTTGGAACTGTGGAGCGCGGCATAGCGGTTCTCCACTCTCCAGGGCCAGCTCCAGGCACCAGCTTCTCAAGCAGGTGCTTGGGGCGGCCGTTCCGGACAGGGGCGGCAGTTCCAGGTATTCGGTGGCAATTCGGCGGACGGTCCCTCACTCCGCCTGGGACTGAATGACCTCCCGCCGAATTGCTGCTGCAGATCGCGATCGCGGCTTTTTTTAGCTCGCGATCGCGGCTTTTTTTTTTTTTTGGTTTTGGCTGCTTGGGGCGGCCAAAACCCTGGAGCTGGCCCTGCCACTCTCCCTAGCTTTACTTGTTTGTTCTTGTAGATAGTTGTTGGTTATATACTTTAGATTAGTAGTTTGTTGTTAATAGTTTTTGTAGAGTAGTTATAAATAGTTAGCGGGGGTTAAGAGCAGACGCGGATAAGGCCCCACGGCACCGTCCTCCCTCGGCACCACGTCCGCCGCAAGCCCCTCGGCGCCGGTCCCTGTCTCTGGGACATAAAAGGCCCCGCAAGACCCAGGACGCTGCCGTCCAATAGGCACCGGCTCCCCCCGCACCGGTGGTAGAGCCGCGTCCGGCTTCGGAGCACCAGAGGGTACAAGTGTCATCAGCACCGTTGACTCCGGCACCGGGTGTAGGGCCGTTGAGTCCAGTGCAGACTGGCTCACCGCCTCGTCCGGTAGTGGAGCCCTGTCTCCCTTCTACACCAGAGACGTTTGCCACGGGGAAAGACCTCATCGCCCTCACGGAGCCGGCGCCATCTCAACCCGCGGCACCGCATGCCCTTCGTACGGTGCAATCCAGGGGCAAGCCTACCCTGATACGCCCGCCATCTCCGAGCGTGGACTCGCGGCACCGCTCACGGTCTCGGAGCAGGTCCCGACGCCGCTCACGGTCCCGGCACCGATCTTCATCTCGGCGCCGGTTGTACTCGTGGCCCAGATCTTCCTCCCGGCACCGGTCTACTTCTCGGCACCGACCTGAGCATCGGTACCGGTCGGAGTCCAGATGCAGTTCTCAGCACCGGTATGAGCGCCGCTCCCGTTCGTGAGGCCGCTCCCGGCACCGAGTCTACAGACGGTCTTCGCCTTCCCGATCCAAATCTGGATCCCGGTACCGACATGGCCATCGGCACCGTTCTTGATCCCGGTACCGTTCACCGGCACCGCGCAGAGACCGCTCGCCTGTGGACCGACACCGCTCGGCACCGTACCAGGACGAGCCCCTGCAACCTAGCTCGGCACCGCCCTGGCCCTCAAGATCGGCGTCTCGCTCGTCGGAAGGAGCTTCCCGTTCAGCGTACCCTGCTCAGGGTCAGGCTGCAGACGACTTGGGTCATTGGCAGGAGGGGGCAGAGGACCCTAGACAGGACCCTGCACATTGGTCTTTCTGGACTCCATGGGCATATCACCAAGCTCAAGGGGCTCCACCAGCGGCCTCTCGCTCGGCACACACTGAGCCCAGGGTTCCTGAGGCCAGCATCTCCCGTCCTCCCCCAGGGGGCATGAAGGCTCCGGTGCCGACACCCACGCAGGCACCAGACCCCGGTGCAGGGGATCCTGCACATCAGGATCCCTTGGAGCCAGACCCGCACATGGATCCTTTACCCCCTGAGGCGTCGTCCTCATCTTCCCCAGATGAGGCAGTGGCAGGTACAACAGCCTCAGGCCCACCTCCAATAGACCTCCATGCCCACCAAGACTTGTTGCGTAGGGTGGCACGAAATATGGACCTACAGGCTGAGGAGATAGTGGAGGTGGAGGACCCGGTGGTGAGCATCCTTTCAGCTGATGCCCCATCCCGGGTGGCGTTGCCCATTATCCGTACGATCCAGGCTAACGCTAATGCCATATGGCAAACCCCGGCCTCCATCCCTCCCACTGCCAGAGGTGTAGAGAGGAAGTATTTTGTCCCCTCTAAAGACCATGAGTACCTCTATACACACCCTCCGCCGTGTTCACTGGTAGTCTCCTCAGTGAACGCCAGAGAGCGCCATGGCCAGCAGGCGGCAGCGCCCAAATCGAAGGATGCTAAACGCTTCGATTTGTTTGGACGCAAGGTTTACTCAGCGGGGGGGTCTGCAGCTCAGGGCCGCAAACCAACAGGCGCTCCTGAGTCGGTACAGTTATAACTCACGGAATTCCATGGGTAAATTTAAAGAGTTGGTCCCCCAGGACTCGAGGGAGGAGTTCGGGGCCCTTGTGGAGGAAGGGAAAAAGGTGGCTAGGACCTCCTTGCAGGCCTCTTTGGACATTGCGGACTCGGCCGCCAGGACACTAACTTCTGAGATAGCCATGCAACGCGTCTCCTGGCTCCAGGTTTCGGGGTTACCGCCAGAACTGCAGCAGACCCTGCAAGATCTGCCGTTCGAGGGCCAAGGGTTGTTCTCAGACAAGACGGACTCTCGGTTTCAGAGCCTCAAGGACTCGAGAACCATCATGCATGTCCCAGGACCCCAGCGCAGGCCCTTTAGGCCCCAGCCACAAAGGTTCTACCCTCCTCCTCCTCGTCCGCGACAGGACTTCCCCAGAAGGCGGGGACGAGGTGGTAGACGGAGGTCGACCGGCCCCCAACCCGGTCAGAACCAGGGCCCTCCTAGGCCACCTTCAGGACCTAGGCAAAACTTTTGAAGGTGCGCCCGAGGACAGCGCACCAGCCACTACCCAGGATCCCTTTCCTTTATTTCGGGATCGCCTCTCCCGTTTCCACTGTGCTTGGTCCCTTATAACTTCGGACCGTTGGGTCCTTCGCACGGTGGAGAGGGGATACGCTCTCCATTTTTCTTCGTTCCCTCCCTCCCGCCCCCCCCTCCCTATCCCTCTTCAGGGACCCTTCTCACGAGCATCTCCTTACACAGGAGGTTTTTGGGCTCCTCTCTATGGGGGCCATAGAGGAGGTTCCCCCAGAGTTAAGGGGCAGGGGGTTTTACTCCCGCTACTTCCTGATCCCCAAAGCAAAAGGGGGTCTGCCACCCATTTTAGACTTACGCGGACTCAACAAATTCATAGTAAAGTTGAAGTTCTGCATGGTCTCCTTGGGGACCATCATCCCTTCCCTGTATCCTGGAGACTTGTACGCCGCCCTCGACATGAAGGACGCATATTTTCATATAGCAATCTACCCCCCTCACAGGCGCTTCCTTCGATTTGTAGTAAACAATGTGCACTACCAATTTGCCGTCCTTCCCTTCAGATTGTCCGCGGCTCCGAGAGTGTTCACCAAATGTATGGCTGTCGTGGCAGCATACCTTCGCCGACAAAGGATACAGGTGTTCCCATATCTAGACGACTGGCTCGTGCGCGGCCAAACCAGGGAGCAAGTTCAGGCACACGTCCAGATAATACTACAAACATTCCACGAGTTAGGCATTCTACTCAACAAAGAAAAGTCCACTCTGGAGCCAACCCAGAGGATAGAGTTTATTGGGGCAGTTCTAGACTCCAGACTCGCCCGAGCTCTTCTGCCAGACACTCGGTTTCACACCATCGCAAACATCATCCACGGACTCCAGATCTTCCCGATTACCACAGTAAGGACATGCCTCGGCCTGTTGGGTCACATGGCCTCTTGCACTTACGTAACCAGGCATGCCAGACTTCGGCTTCGCCCACTTCAGGCCTGGGTATCGTCGGTGTAACGTCCTTATCGGGACAACCTAAACATAGTGGTCACGGTTCCCAACTCAGTCTTGACCTCCCTCACCTGGTGGCTGGATCACAAGGCAGTTTGCGCAGGAGTGCCGTTTCACGCCCCACAACCCTCCCTGCACCTGGTCACAGACGCTTCATCTCTAGGGTGGGGCGCTCACCTCGCGGAGCACCATACTCAGGGCCTGTGGACCGCATCCCAACTAGCTCTGCACATCAATGTTCAAGAGCTGATGGCGGTGCGCCTAGCGTGTCAGGCATTTCTCGGTCTCCTACATGGCCGTTGCGTGTCAGTCCTCACAGACAACACCACGGCCTTGTTCTACATGAACAAGCAAGGAGGAGCCCGGTCGTCTCTCCTATGCCAAGAGACCATTCGCCTGTGGGAGTTCTGCATTGCCCACTCGATACATCTCACGGCATCGTTCCTCCCTGGAGCCCAGAACACTCTAGCGGACCGTCTCAGCAGATCCTTCCAGACGCACGAATGGTCGATCCGCCCGGATATCATCCATTCCATCTTCCAGAGGTGGGGATTTCCCCAGGTCGACCTGTTCGCCTCACGAGCCAACAGGAAGTGCCACGTGTTCTGCTCCCTCCAAGGGCGATCTCCGGGCTCCGTGTCAGACGCTTTCCTCCTATCATGGAGAGACCAGCTGTTCTACGCTTTCCCTCCATTCCCACTGGTCCTCAGGGTGCTGCTCAAGCTACGCAGAGACAAGGCACGTATGATTCTAGTCGCTCCAGCTTGGCCAAGACAGCACTGGTACACCACGCTTCTGGAGCTATCGGTGCAAACTCCGATCACGCTTCCCTTGTGCCCAGACTTGATCTCTCAGGACCATGGCCGACTCTGTCACCCCGACCTGAAATCGCTCCACCTCACAGCGTGGATGCTCCATGGCTGAATCGGACAGAGCTACGATGCTCACATCCCGTGCAACAGATTCTGCTGGGAAGTAGAAAGCCCTCTACGCGGACCACTTACTTAGCCAAGTGGAAACGGTTCTCCTGTTGGTGCGAGCAGCGGGCCACGCCCCCCTTGCAGGCGTCTATTCCTCTTATACTCGAATATCTCCTATCCCTGAAACAGCAGGGCTTGGTGATATCTTCAGTCAGGGTTCACCTGGCCACTATATCGGCGTTCCACCCAGGAGAACACGCTTCCTCGGTCTTCTCTAACCTTGAGATTTCTCAAGGGCTTAGACCGGCTATACCCACAGCAACGCCAACCCGTTCCGGCGTGGGATCTTAACCTGGTTCTCTCCAAGCTCACAGGGCCCCCGTTCGAGCCATTGGCTACCTGCTCACTCCTTTACCTATCTTGGAAGACAGCCTTCCTTGTAGCCATCACTTCAGCAAGGCGTGTTTCTGAACTCAGGGCGCTCATGTCTGAGCCTCCGTACACAGTCTTCCACAAAGACAAGGTGCAGCTTCGCCCCCCACCTGGCCTTCCTTCCCAAGGTAGTATCAGCTTTTCATGTGAACCAGGATATATTTCTCCCGGTCTTCCATCCTAAGCTGCACGCCACCCGTCAAGACCAACGTATGCACTCCTTGGACGTACGCAGGGCCTTGGCTTTCTATATTGAGCGTACGAAACCGTTTAGGAAGACGACACAACTCTTCGTTGCAGTGGCCGACCGGATGAAAGGCTCACCGGTCTCCTCGCAACGTCTCTCCTCTTGGATCACGTCCTGCATTCGTGCTTGCTACGACCTGACCGGAGCCCCGACGCCGCGCCTCACCGCCCACTCCACGAGGGCCCAAGCCTCCTCGACTGCCTTCCTGGCTCAAGTCCCGATCCAGGACATTTGTAGAGCTGCAGTTTGGTCATCGGTCCACACCTTCGCCGCTCACTATGCGCTTGTACAGCAGTCCAGAGACGATGCTGCATTCGGGTCAGCGGTTTTGCACACAGCAATGTCTCACTCCGACCCCACCGCCTAGGTAAGGCTTGGTAGTCACCTAATTAGAATCGATATGAGCAAGCACTCGAAGAAGAAAAAACGGTTACTCACCTTTGTAACTGTTGTTCTTCGAGATGTGTTGCTCATATCCATTCCAAACCCGCCCCTCTTCCCCACTGTCGGAGTAGCCGGCAAGAAGGAACTGAGGGGGCGCTGGGTCGGCTGGGGTATATATCCAGCGCCATGAAGGCGCCACTCCAGGGGGCTCCACAGCCGAGCCACCGGGTGTTGCTAGGGTAGAAAATTCTCCGACGATCGTGCACGCGGCGCGCGCACACCTAATTGGAATGGATATGAGCAACACATCTCGAAGAACAACAGTTACAAAGGTGAGTAACCGTTTTTCTTACTTGGAGGGATAATAATTGTAACTAAGGAGTGTGTGTTAGTAAGTTGTTCATTTGTTTGAACAACTTGCTACTTTTTAAAATATGAAATTTTGTTTATTAGGTTATTTAGTCTAAAGAGAGAAACTTCGATGCTAAGGGTTTTTCAATTATTTTATTTTAGGCCTCTAGTATCAGAGTCTGTGAACAACTCACTTTTTCATCAGCTAGCTGAACAACTGCAACAACAAAATTTAGAACATCTCCGACAGCAGCTCCTGGAGCAACAGCAGCCTCAAAAGGTAACTACTCCATCTTGTGGTTATCATAGTAATTGATTCTAGTGTTCTTCCACATTGGTAAAAATACATACTCTGCTTCAGGACAGGAAACTGTCTCTTCTTCCTAATACTCTTACTCATAATAATAAAACTGTCACTGGCTAATTACCTGGGCTAGGCTTGCAAAGTGAAGACTTGGAGCAAGTGAAGGCAAAATGCATAAAACAAAGAAAAAAAATACAGAACAAATGTGAGCTATACATTTTGTACTTATTAAATTAGGAGAGACTAGCCGTCAGCTGAACTGGAGACACGCTTCACTTTCAGTTATCCTGTCCACTTCTTAACTAAGAGGGTTTTTTTTTTTTAAATGATTTCCCTTCTTTCATGGAGGGCTGGAAAGATGGCATGCTGCCCTGGCTTGAAAGAAAAAAAGGGATAGTTAAGTTCACTTCATTTAATGTCTGTATCACATTTAGTCATGCACAAATCAAGAAAATTTCTTGATAGATTTCTTTCTTGTAACTAACATCCTGACATAAAATACTACAGTTTCATGATTTGTTTTGTCTTGTTTTATCTTAAATCTCACACTGGTCCAAAAGGTTGGAATTAAATGAAGATTTTTAAATTAAATTTAAATTCGTATTGCATTTACATCACAACAAAATAATTAATCATGAAAATGTGTGGTTCTCGATGGAACTGATTACAATAAGTTATCAATGACTTATGTACCAACAATATTTATATATTTAAAAATGATATGACTATTTTGATATACCCTTCTTAGTATTGTACAAAATTACTATAGTCCTTCAAGGTATGTATTTGTTTTCTTGTTGGAGTTTTACTTCTAATTAACCAGAATTGTGAAAAAATAGTCATCCTCGATGAATGTTATCTGACTCATTGACTTGATAATGGTATTTTGAGTGGGAACTGAAAACGCATTGGCTCTGTTAAAATTCTATTTATTTGTGTATTGGAGTACAGAGTGGAATGGAGGGAAATCAAGTTCAACTCAAAGTTCTCTTAACAGGTTATTAGTGTATATTAACTTGATCTGCATTTACAGAAAACGAAGTGGTAAAAAAAAATCCCAGACACTTGCAAATAAACTCTTTTCAAAAATATTCTAACAGTCATGTTTGTATGTCCTGTGTTGTATTGCAGAGTGACATAACATACAATTTGGCTTCTGACTTTTTAAAATGTAATATTCATGTCCTGTGCAGGCAAGCCCTGAGGAAAATCAAGAAGGAAATTTTGGATCAGAGCACTCTGCATCACCATCACAAGGGAGTAGCCAACAGCAGTTTTTAGAAGTGGAAACAAACCTAGATGATTCAATGGATATTCAACAACAGGTGAAATTTACCATTTCTGATTAAATTACTGAGATTTGAAGGGAAAAATTAAACTTCAGAAATTGTTGTATCTCTTTGTATGCCAATGTATGTTTTGTATATTTTTGCTTATATTTCTCATTGCTTCCATATTTAGGACATGGATATAGATGAAGGGCAAGATGTAGTTGAGGAAGAGATCTTTGAACAAGAAGAAAAGAAATCAGCTGTTCGTTCAAGATCAAGAACACACTCAAGATCTCGTTCAAGGTTTCATAATAACTTATTACTCAAGTATAAGCAACTTTATTTTATTCTAAAATACAGAGACAGTGTTATATTTGTTGAACCTATATCATTCTGAATTATTTTGGCTTCCAGCATGGTTGTGTTGCATTGGAATCGAACAAATAGTTTACATTTAAACATAGGATTAAGCTGTATAGTAATTTAAGACTTTTTTTGATGTGGCAATTTATTTTGTTTAGATTTGGATTCCTTAAATTTTCAAGTATCTTCCAGGTAATACAAATAAGTAGGTAAAAAAATTGTTGACTTTGGGATGGACTTTTCCTCTGTAATGCTTATTTTTCTGCTGTAAACTTTGCAGTTCTTTTTTCTTGAGGTCAGACTAATGCCCTTTTTTCTCCTCCACACTAATGGTAGTACATTTATTTTCTCTATACAATAGTAAAATAAAATGTGACTAATTTTTCTAAACATTTAAACAAACACTAAGAAAAGCCCATACTACCATATTGAGTTGTGATTTTTAGTAGGGCTGTCAAGCAATTAAAAAATTAATCGTGATTAATCGCGCTGTTAAACAATAAGAGAATACCATTTATATAAATATTTGTGGATGTTTTCCACATTTTCAAATGTATTGATTTAAATTACAACACAGAATACAAAGTGTACAGTGCTCACTTTATATTTATTTTTTATTATAAATATTTGCACTGTAAAAATGAGAGTATTTTTCAATTCACTTAATACAAGTACTGTAGTGTAATCTTTTTATCATGAAAGTTGAACTTACAAATGTAGAGTTATGTACAAAAAATAACTGCATTCAAAAATAAAACAATGTAAAATTTTAGAGCCTACAAGTCCACTCAGTCCTACTTCTTGTTCAGCCAATCGCTCAGACAAACAAGTTTGTTTACATTTGCAGGAGATAATGCTGCCCGCTTGTTTACAATGTCACCTGAAAATGAGAACAGATGTTCGCATGGCGCTGTTGTAGCCGCCATTGCAAAATATTTGCGTGCCAGATACACTAAAGATTCATATGTCCCTTCATACTTCAGCCACCATTCCAGAGGACATGTGTCCATGCTGATGATGGGTTCTCCTCGATAATGATCCAGAGCAGTGCAGACCAACGCATATTCATTTTCATCATCTGAGTCACATGTCACCAACAGAAGGTTGATTTTCTTTTTTGGTCGTTCGGGATCTGTAGTTTCCGCATCGGAGTGCTGCTCTTTTAATATGTCTGAAAGCATGCTCCACACCCTGTCCCTCTCAGATTTTGGAAGGCACTTCAAATTCTTAAATCGTGGGTCGAGTGTTGTAGCTATCTCTAGAAATATGATATTGGAATCTTCTTGTTTGTCAAATCTGCAGTGAAAGTGTTCTTAAATCAAACAATATATGCTGTGTCATCATCCGAGACTACCATAACACAAAATATATGGCAGAATGCGGGTAAAACCATGGAGCAGGAGACGTACAATTCTCATCCAAGGAGTTCAGTCACTAATTTAATTAACACACTTTTTTTTAACAAGCATCATAAGCATGTCCTCTGGAATGGTGGCCAAAGCATGAAGGGGCATACAAATGTTTAGCATATCTGGCACATAAATACCTTGCAATGCCAGCTACAAAAGTGCCATGCGAAAGTCTATTCTCACTTTCAGGTGACATTGCACAAGAGAAGTGGGCAGAATTATCTCCCATAAATGTAAACAAACTTATTTATTTCTCTTAGCGATTGGCTGCAAAAGAAGTAGGACTGAGTGGAGATGTAGGCTCTAAAGGTTTACATTGTTTGTTTTTAAGTGCAGTTATGTAATAAAAAAATCTACATTTGTATGTTGCACTTTCAAGATAAAGAGATTGCACTACGGTACTTGTATGAGGTGAATTGAAAAATACTGTTTCTTTTATCATTTTTACAGTGCAAATATTTGTAATCAAAAGTACCGTATATACTCGTTCATAACCAAATTTTTTTAGTAAAAAAGGGAAGCATCAGAGAAGGGGGTCAGCTTATCGAGAGGGAGAGGTGGGACACAGCCCCTCCCCCCCAACAGAGGGGGCAAGGAGAGGCAGCACAGCCATCAGAGCCAGAAGGGAAGAGGTGGGGCTGGAGTCTCTCTTCTTCTGGCCACGCTGCTCTCCCCCCAGCCTCTGAAGCAGCTGCCGCTCCGGGGCTGGCAGGCTGCAGCCATGCCACTCGGCCTGCCGGAGCAGCTGCAGCCAGGCCAGAGACCTCCTCCCCTGGCCCGTCCCAGGTAAGGTGGGAAGGGATGGGATGGTGAGAGTGTGGGGGTCCTGGGGTAGGGGTGGGGAAGAGCTGACCCCCAGCTACTTCTGCCCTTCCCCCTCCCCAAAAATTTCCCCACCAGTTGCTGTCCCGGCCCATCAGGGTAAGCCGCTGGCGGGCCAGGACATTTTGTTTACTTAGGTTTACCTCCGTGCCTGTGGACGCTCGAGGTAAACAAACTATCTCGGCCCACCAGCAGCTTATCCTGATGGGCCAGGAGCCGAAGTTTGCCGACCCCTGAATTATAGGGTTGGCTTATGAATGGGTCATAAAATTTTGCCATTTTTACTTATCCATCTTGGGGGGTTGTCTTATAAACGAACCAGCTTATGATCGAGTATATACGGTAATATAAAGTGAGTGCTGTAAACTTTGTATTCTGTTTTGCAATTGAAATCAATATATTTGAAAATGTAGAAAAACGTCCAAAATATTTAATAAATTTCAATTGGTATTCTATTGTTTAACAGTGCGATTAAAACTGCGATTAATCACGAGTAATTTTTTAAATCGCGATTATTTTTTTTGAGTTAATCACATGAATTAACTGGGATTAATCGGCAGCCCTAATTTTTAGTAAAACAAAAATAAAAGCGGAGTACATCTCTCCCCTGACACCTGTTCAAGGTATTAAAAATAAATGTTTTGTAGGTCACCAAGAAAACGGAGGTCTAGGTCACGGTCTGGTTCCCGAAAACGTAAACACAGAAAACGTTCACGCTCAAGATCAAGAGAAAGGAAGCGAAAGTCATCTCGGTCATACTCCAGTGAAAGAAGAGCTAGGGAAAGGGAAAAAGAACGCCAAAAAAAGGGATTGCCTCCTATCCGGTCTAAAACACTAAGTGGTAGGTAACACTGATTTTATGTTTTAATATCTTAGTATTCAAGAGAGAGGGGGAAAAGTAGTCCTTTACATTTCTCTGGTAAGGAAACAACATTTATATTAAGTACCATTATGACTAATTTTAGTCTAGTAACTGAAATATCAAAAGTTAGATTGTTGTTAAATAATTTTATAATTAACCTATAAATATAAATCAATGATTTCATCGTGAAGAAAGTGGGATTTTGTTCCTTCAAAGATTTTACTCTTGTAAAAATTATGAGCAGTGGTACCTGCCCCATAGACAAAACTACAGTGTATTTTCTGTTTAATGTTGAATTTTGCATTCCTTCTAAAATATACATAGATTGACTTGAAAATTGATTTATCAGTTCAGGGGACAGGGTAGAATTTGTGATGCAGATTTGAGGTCATTTGCTCAATGGGTTCCTGACAACTGTTCCCCCTTCCACCCTATTCTCAAAGTATCTATTTCTAAAATATCAGCATTCTTAACATACTTTTTTGTTGTATATAGGGATTAAATTGGGGTGTGTTGGGCTGGATCCAGAAGATCCAGCCCGACATTGGGGTGTCCCTGTTAAATTTGTGTGTACAGCACCAAGAGCAGTATCCAAATCCCAGTTAGTTCAAAGTTGTTCATCTTTAGTTCTGGTTCTTTCGAGTGCTATTCGAGACAGCTGTGATCCCTTCAGGAAACACTAGCATCCTGAAGATGGAGGAAGAAAGGGAGGAGGGGAGAAAGAACCTCCCCCACAAAATATCCTTTAGCCTAGAAGAATGTATACTGAGCTGGGTGCCAGAAGCCATGAATTCAAGTGTCTTTGTCCACTGATAGTCTGGATCACTTTACAACCATTGTTATTAGGGTTGTGCATATTCTGCTGCTGCATAATTTACAACAGATTTCTAGTAATAGGAGGTGTATGCTCCAGTCTCAGCTTTCTTTTTCATAAATGGTCTCTAGATTCTAATGTTTGCAGAGATGATCTTGAAAATATTGATTTAGTGTAAACCAATGCAGCATCACCAATCTCAGCCTTCAGACAGCTTGAAACATACCCCTAAAAGGTGTAAACTGCTTTTATTCATTTCAGTCAGGGCCCCCTGGACTTATGTTTTCCCAGGATGCTTTGGAATTCAGCATTTTGCTGCATGCAGACGCCTTACAGTTTGTTTTTGTCTTCCTGACCTACGAGTGGGTGTCTCTTGTTTTATGGCTTTCTCCACAAAGAGGCATTAATTATATTTATAGTGTACATTTCCTGCACTGTTGAGCTAGGCAGCAGGGAGCTAGAGCTGGTGTTCAGCTTTCAGTAAGCAAAGCTTCAGCAGGAGCCAGAAGTGTAGGCTGGTGAGCTGAGTAGCCTGGAGTTCAGTGCAGCAATTGGGGCCTGGGGAGGTGAGTTGCCGACAAAATAACTGGAACTGGGCAGGTTATTGGAAAGACGTGGGAGGCCTGGAACTTTCTCAGGTGGGGAAAAAGCGCAAGGAACCTGAGCTATTACGGGTATTCGGGAATGGTGGGAGGATTGGAGCTCTGCCAGTGGTAGGAGTAAGTGTGGATGGGGGCCGGGGATCTCTTCTTTGCTTACTGGGGAGATAAGATGGACAGGAACCAAAGGACACCAGGAGCTATGGAAAACTTGGCTGAGAAGGCACAGGCCAAGTCTCTTCTTCTCTGGTATGTGTAGAAATATCTTTTGGTAAACATCAGGAGGAAAGATGCTCTTGTGATTAAGAACTGAGGGATTGTCTACATCAATAACTTCCGTTGACCTGGCTACGTTGCTCAGGGGTGTGAAAAATTCACATTCCTGAGAGACATAATTAAGTCAATCTAAGCCCCAGTCTAGATAGCACTAGGTTGATGAAAGAAATCAACCTAGCTAGAGCCTCTCAGGGCACGTCTTCACTACCCGCCGGATCGACAGGTAGTGATCGATCTATCGGGGATCGATTTATCACGTCTAGTGTAGACGCTCTGCCGTCGACTCTGGAACTCCACCGCAGCGAGAGGCGGAAGCGGAGTCGATGGGGGAGCGGCAGCGGTCGACTCGCCGCCGTCCTCACGGCCAGGTAAGTCGACCTAAAATACGCAACTTCAGCTACGCTATTCACGTAGCTGAAGTTGCGTATCTTTGGTCGACACCCCCCCCCCGCCCCCCCATAGTGTAGACCTAGCCTCTGAGAGGTAGATTTACTACAGTGATGGAAAAACCCCTTTTGTCGCTGTAGTAAGTATATACACTACAGCAGCTGAAACTGTGCCAATGTAGTGTTTCTAGTGTAGACATACCCTCAGGAGACACAGGGTTTTTTTGGGGTGTAGGAGGGGGTAGAGAGAATGCACCCATTTTACTACTTCATTGTGCTAAGATATTAAACAATACTTCCTATACAAAGAATAGAAAATGCTGCTAAATTCTATTGCCGGATTGAAGTACCACAGCACAGTAAGCACTAAATGTTTTTAAATTAACACTATTGTAATTCATCAGGGATCAAAGTAAAGTAAAATTTCAATCCCTAATCTCACTCTGTTTAAGGATGAGAAATTATTGTTTAAAAAAAAAAAAAAAACCCCCCCCCCCCCCCCAACCCCCCCCCCCCTTCCTGACTGCTCCCCCGGGACCCCTGCCCCCATTCAACCCCCCGTTCCCCACCCTCTGACCACCCCGCCCCCGACCACCACCCCAAACTCCCCTGCCCTCTATCCAACCCCCCGGCCCCCTTACCACGCTGCCTGGAGCACCGGTGGCTGGTGGCGCTACAGCCATGCCGCCCAGAGCACCAGGACAGGCAGCCGTGCCACCTGCTGGAGCCAGCCACGCCACCGTGCAGCACAAAGCCGGCTCAGCAGCTGTGCTGCCGCCCAGAGCATTGCGCCGGTGGCGCAGTGAGCTGAGCCTGCGGGGAGGGGGAAACAATAGGGGAGGGGCCGGGGGGCTAGCCTCCCCAGCTGGGAGCTCAGGGACTGGGCAAGACGGTTCCGCAGGCCGGATGTGGCCCGCGGGCCGTAGTTTGCCCACCTCTGTCTTAGAAGTTTGAAGTTTAATTGTTTGTTGGCAAATAATTTTTGATAGTCTTCAGTTTAATACCTGTAACTCGATATGCCATTAATGCTCAGTGAGGGCAAGCAGCCTTGCCTACTTAGCAGAAAATATATATTTTTTAAAGCGATGAAGGTATTTATCAAAGCATTATCCAACTATAACATTCACAAGAAGGTTAATATCAAAATGGATATCAGACATGAGTTAGCTTTCAGGTAAATGACTTTTTATATGAAAAATCTTTCTTTGCAGTTTTACATTCAGAAGAGGAAGGAAACTGACCCAATGATCACTTTTTTAAATACCAGTTCCAATAATGCTCCTTAACTTTCATTTTTTTGTGTATTCATCTGTTCTATAAATTGTTCTGTAAGTCTTCAGATTTACATGTGAGATTGCATGCTCAGTAGAAATGTTGCTTGTTAAAAATACTTGTTTCTTTAATGGCTACATTAGCTGATGATCTACAGTATGCTTTCATTTCCCTGCTTCTTATGAAGTGCTTGTTTTGAGTTAGAAAAATCAAGAACCTTTTACCAAGGCTAGTTTATCTGAATGGAATGTTGTGTTTTTTATTTGTTAGAGCAATGGGCAAAGAGTCAAGACTTCTTGATTCTGTTCTCAGCTTAATCACTAATTCATTTTGTGAATTTGGGCGAATCACTTAATCTCTGTGGATAAGTTTACTTAACCTCTGTTACCTAGGTAAAATCTTTATAATTACTGCCTCAGATTGGTGGTTTAGACTTAATTGTAAAGCACTTTCGAATTATTGGATGCAGAATCCAATGTCCTGCAAAGTATTGTCATTTTTAATTTATGTAATGTCTCTCTTGACAGTCTGCAGTACTACTCTTTGGGTTGGTCAAGTAGACAAGAAGGCCACACAGCAAGATTTAACTAATTTGTTCGAAGAATTTGGACAAATAGAATCTATTAACGTAAGTGAGCACAGTGTCCTAAATTTTAAAGCTGTTTGCATATTACTAATTTAGGAAAGGTTATGCTGTATGGTACATTTGCCAAATCCACAATAATATGTACATAATATGTAGGAAAACATGACAGATGTGATGCATGTTGTATTTAAGAAAATATAAGATGTGTGAACTGAATTGTCTGCTAGAAAAAGAAGTTTTCTTGTAGTTTATTATTATATGCCAGATTTTTAAAAAACGAGTGCCTCTGGTTAGATTCCTAAGTCCTATTTAACCATCTAAATATAGAGTTAGGAACTTAACTTTAGGGATCCATTTTTACAAACCTTGGCCATAATCCTTACCTGTTCATTTCTATTGTATTAAAGTTGGCATTTGAACCACTAAGGAAAAGGCACCCTACGTAGTCAAATGCGTGTGCTTCTTCCCTCAGATTATTCATGGGAACTGTTGTTTTGACTGTTACACTGAAATATGCTATAAGAGAGGAATTTGTAAAAAAATAAAAAAAATAAATAAATAAAAATTAAATCACAAATATTAGTTACAATACACATTATAGTTCAATATTAGGAAAAATTAATGACGAACACACCTGGACTGCTACTCCAGTAACTGCTTCAAACCATAAAAATTTCAGTTGCCTGTCAGACACATGCTGTTTCTTATCGTAACAAAATAATTTATCTCATAAAAAATAAAATGTTCCATTTTGTCACACACTTTAAAATGTAGTTCTTTTTTGAGTCGTTTACAGAGATTCCACTCTTGATATGCATACTCCCCAGGCCCATGAGATTGAATTATTTGAATAGAAGTGTGCATTGGTGCTGTGCCTGCGCCCAACTCCAGGTGAATGGGCAACTGCTTGTCACCAAGAGTGGAATCTATGGATAAGCACTCAAAGAAGAAAGGATGCTTACTTACCCCACAGTAACTGTGGTTCTTCAAGATGTGTTGTTCACACAGATTCCACAGTTAATGTAAGGTATGTAACCATTTTTTTGTACTCTGAAAAGTCACTGTAAAATCAACATTTTGTTTAACACATCTACTTCCTGTGAGTATTCAGTCAGATCAGATTACTTCAGTGCTGACAGAAAGTTTGGTTTTTAGTTCTGTCAGTCTTGCAGAACCAACACCATTCCAGGAGAGCAAACTGTCTTCTTTCTGGCTTCAAGAAAAGAATTGTTAAAAAAGCTACAGTTTCAGGGCCACGTGTACTATCCCATTCTTTACAGGTAATTTCCTTATTTACACCTGAATGCAGCAGTGTGACACAGGAGTAGCTGAGGGTAGCATTTGCCCTGCAGAATCTTAAATAAATCTAAGCCAGAAGGAGCACTGTTTGTATTTCAGATCCCAGGTTTAGTTAGCAATTAAGAAAAATATCTTCTAAGCTGAGTGAATTTGAGATGGGAAATAATGACAGCAATAACCACGGAATCCCACCGTGCCATTTTTATAAAGTCACCTTTCAGAATAGAACTACACTTTAAGTAGTTCATGCAAAGCAATTTCAGCCATTTCCCCACCCCTTTCTTCCAAATTGGAGCACCAACACACTTACATCTTATAAAAATTAATCTTTTAAAACAGCAGAATTCAAGTTAGCCATTTAAAAAATATTGTGTTGCTCTGTGTAGTACTATTTAGTTATTAAACAACATCCAATAACTTTTTATATTTATAACTTATGACCAAAACTTTTGGCCACAACTATATAATATATTATCACTGAGATGCCGTGCCTCCAGCAGCGTAGTGAAAGCTATGATTAATATGGCAAAACAGATTCTTTTGCAACTCCCTGATTTTGGATGCTCAGAAGTCTAAAATGTTTTTGTTTTTGACCATAAACTTCTGTGCTTAGCCTCTATGGGGAAAAATAATTGTAAGGAAATCTTAAGGAAATTTAATTCAGTTGTTTGAATTTGAGTATATAACAGTACTTTTGCCATTTTAAAAGATAAATTAACCACACTTTTGAAACCTTGATTATAGCACAAAATGAAATTTACAAATTTCCATGTTTGTATTGTAAATAATGGTTAATGAGTAGGGCTTTTCTTTGGATTAGGGTAAAACAATAAACTATCGAAAAATCACTTTTGAACATGCTCAGTGAGCATATAAGAGTGAGTGAGAGAACTGTTCAGACTTTGTCTCCCATCTTGAGAAATGCAGGAATGCTGTTTTTCAGGCAACTGCTGCTGGGACATTTTCCAAGGTGGTTAATAGTTATTTTACCAGTGTGCTTGCACGCGCACGCGCACACACAAACCCTAGTCATTTAATTTTGATGTGAACTACAAAACCTAATTGACACCATATAAATACTTTTGGATTGCAACGGACTGTATAGCTGGTTTAACAAGCCATGTGAAGATTCCTTGGCATAGAGGAATCCCTGGCTGGCTGACCCAGAAGCTTCAGAGCCCAGATGAGTGGGTGTGTTTTGCTACTGTGATCCTCAGTTGACACAATGGTCCTTTGGAACCATTATCTCAGGGGTTCTCAAACTCTTTTTTGGCTGGGACCCCCTTTGAAAATATTTCACACTGTGACAACACCCGCAACCCTGCACCCCCTCCCCCATACCATGCCACCCATACTTCTTTGCTGCTGTTGGTGGCGGCGCTTCCTTCAGGCCTGGACGCCTGGCCAGCGACTTCTGCTCTTTCAACCCCCTTTGAGAAATGCTGCATTATCGGGTCTTCTCTCACTTGCATTTGGCAAAACTGGCTCCCAGCCATCACCAGGTTAGGAGCAATTCACTCCTTTATTCCTCACCACCAGAGCTGTGCCAAGGGAATTGCAGCCAGGACAAAGGAGTTGGGCCCATTAACATTTGCATTTTTTTACTCTTTTGCCACCTTAACATTGCATTAAAGTAGTTTTTATATTTATCCATCATTCTGCAGTTGAATAAATGTGAAGAGGGCTGTTATCAAGATTAATAAAAGGTGTTGCCTATTGTTCATATGTGTCACTTTAAATTGTAAATACAATGTCTTACATCTATTTGCATTTCTCAGAAATGCTGTGAATTCCACTTTTTTATGAGAAGTAACTTGCAACTGTGCTATAAATACTTCTTCATGACAGTTCTACTGCTCCTGGACTTCTTAAAGTACAGTACCCATTACATTAGTTTTAACAAATGTTAACTTTAGTGTTTTACAAAAAGTTAGAATTCACGGACACATTAAGACATTGTCTAAACAAGTGTTAGTTGCCATAATAGTGAGATATATTTCTTTTTCATAGATGATTCCTCCAAGAGGTTGTGCATATGTCTGCATGGTTCACAGACAAGATGCATATCGTGCTCTTCAGAAACTTAGTTCTGGATCCTACAAAATTGGATCTAAAATTATTAAGGTAAGCCATATTTTGTTCAGTAACATAGCCCAACTTAAAATACAGCAGAATTTTTATTATGATGGTTTAATTGTGTACTTTGAAAAAGAATGAATTTTCTATACTATGCGTCTGATCAAGGTGTGCAATATAGAGCATGAGAAGGAGGCAAAATAACTTCCGTTTGTAAGAGGTGGAGTGGGAAATTTTCTTATAAAATGTGTATTTGGGCAGGAAGTGAGGAAAGACCTTAAAAATAAAATGATACACCTGCTGTTTAGGGAATACTTGGAAAGTTTGAACACACAAGGACTGGTTGTCAGGAGACCTGGGTTCTGTTCCTGACTATGCAGAGTACTTAAACACAAACTTAACTTCAAGCTTGTGTGTAGTCCCATTGACTTCATTGAGGACTGTGTGTTGAAAGTTAAGCATGTGCTTAAGTGTTTGAGTTGTTTGAGGTGTCTGTCACTAGTTTACTCCGAGATCCTTGGGTAAGTCTTTTCAGCTCTGTGGTGCCGTTTCCCCATCTGTAAATTAGAAATAATATTTAACACACTTCTTATAAAAAGAACAGGAGTCCTTGTGGCACCTTAGAGATTAACAAATTTATTTGAGCATAAGCTTTCGTGGGCTACAGCCCACTTCAGCCCACGAAAGCTTATGCTCAAATAGATTTGTTAGTCTCTAAGGTGCCACAAGGACGCCTGTTCTTTTTGCGGATACAGACTAACACGGCTGCTACTCTGAAACACTTCTTATAGTTCATTGTAACCAAAGAGCCAAAAGCTCTTCCAAGTGGCTGCTGCTATTAGATGCTGAGTACATGCCCTATTGCTTGGTACAAACAGTAAATGTACAGTGAAGATCAATCCTGCACTGACAGGGAGATGAAGTGGATAACTAAAGTGTTTTAATTCAGCTACATCATCTGATTGGATTTTATTTTCAGATTGCTTGGGCTTTAAATAAAGGTGTGAAAACAGAGTACAAGCAGTTTTGGGATGTGGATCTTGGAGTTTCATATATACCTTGGGAAAAAGTAAAATTGGATGATTTGGATGGCTTTGCTGAAGGAGGCATGATCGACCAGGAGACTGTAAATACAGGTATTGATACTTATGTGTAGCTTTTATTAAGTAAAAATTATGTTTATTTTCTTTATTCCTTAAATTAATTTTCAGAAGTTGAGTATTTTTGGTGTACGTGTTCTTTTTTGCATTTGTTAGTATTAGTTTCCCGTGTACAGTTCAGATGGCACTGAGGTCTGAAATCCAGAAATTTGGATTGCCTCTATCGTGTGTTTGAGTCAACATCTGATGATAACACTGCAAGTCAACATGATAATACTATGTCAACATTCAGACCAATGGAGTTAAGCGAGACAATAAATATTAATATTTTTAAAAGTGGCTTCTGATTTTCTATGTTCAGTCACTAAGTACATGTGCAAATATTAGTGCATGCAAAATCTGTGATCTGGTTGTGACTCCTTTTGAAAAATCAAGTCTTTAGATTGTTGTATGTAAAAGTAAAATGATGGAAGAGACTGATCTGGATATTCCTTTATTGTTTAAAACTTTCTGTTGAGACTGTCAGTGTTACTGAGCTTCCTCTTTCCAACCTCCATAGATTGGTTTATAATCTGTTTTGTATCACAGGGCTTGTCTACACAGTCCCACAGTTCAGACTGTGGGAGTGTGAATTGCACACTTCTCCCCTGTGTGCACGCTGCATGAGCCAACTAAAAGGCATCTAGTTCATGTAATGTGAACTAGGTACCTTTTAGTTCACACCAGCACCATCCACACAGGGGAATTGCAATTCACACCCATAATCCAAATTGTGGGGCTGTGTAGACTTAGCCTTAGATATTGACAAGGGATGTTTGAGTATATAAATGCCAATCTTTTTAACTCTGGCAGCAAAATTTAAATTTGAATCAATATTGAAAATTAAATCCAACACCTTGCGTTTAGAATGCCAACTTCATTTTCCCTTGGGCTGGTGGAGGTGGGTTTTTTGGTTGTTAAGTACCCTATGTGATCATGTGTCAGACTAGTCACTCAGTAATATAGACATGTTGTAAATATAAATGACAGTACATAAGGGGCTGCTATATTCTTTACATGTCATGAATCATTTATAAAGTGACAGTCATCGACATTTAAAAAAAAATCAGCTTCTGATATAGTAACATTTAAATTGTATACCTAGAATTTTTGTTTTTCCTTCTCCATTCACTTAACACTTTTTTTTTTTTTTTAATGGGATTTTTGTTTTTCTCCTGCTGATGTTTGATGGTCTTTCTGCCAAGAGAGGAACTCTGTGTCTATATCTATATAATTTTGTTTTTCACCCCCCAGCTTCTTTCAGTTACAGTAAGCTCTGACCAAAATGTGATTTTTCAAGTTGATGGTGGTTTTTTTAAATGTGGAAATGGAAATAGAACATTTAACTCATTTTCTACAAAATAAATAAAAACATTTTTTTATTTAGAATGGGAAACTGTGAGGAGCTCAGAGGCTGTTAAAGAAAATATCCAAACTACTCAGAGTACAACTGTCGATAAGAATACAGCTGTTACAACACAGACAGAAGCTTATACTCAATCTGTAACTATGCTACAGGTTAGTATTGAGCATGTTTGTACCCCCAGTTTTCATATTTTGGGTGGTTTCTGTAGAGAGAGATTTAACTTGTAGTTAATATGGATACATTCAAATGCTAAAGTTAGAATAAATAGCATAGATAAATATAGAAAATATAGAACAAGGAGGATTTATATTTTATTTTATCTTTAAAATAAGCAAACTAATGTTCTTATTCAGCAAAGCTCTTAAACTTCTGCTTGACTCTAATATCATGCCTGTTTTGCTGAATCCAGGCTTAAATGTTGGTGATAGAGCAAATGTTATAAAACTGAAATGGCAATCAATTGTTTAAAAGAAGATTGAAATGTGTGAGCTACTAAAGCATCCTTTTGTAGGAGCCACCAGCACAATGACTCCTTTTTGCCTGGGACTACTTCTGCTTGGCTTTAGTTCCTTTTTACATTTGTTTCCCCTTTCTTTCATTTTTTTCCTGCACTTTTGGGCAGCCTTCATATTGATTTAGGATCTTGTTGAACATTTTTGCTAAATGGAGTTTGGTAGGGACAATCTAAGCCTTAATGTAGTTTGAATTACTCTACCTCTAAAAAGGATTTTCTCTGCCTTAATAAACAGCTGAGTAAGATTTGTTTCTTTTTTTGAAAGCTAGAGCTACTGTATTGTAACTTTTTTAGTCTTTCAGGTATGTGCAATACAAAAGATGTTGGTCAAGAATTTCTTGAAATGCTCACAGTCAAAATTATGTAGTGATTACATTATTTTTACTAAGTTTTGCTTATAATACCACAGAAAGGTAAATTTTAAACCTGTTGCTGATTTTTTTTTTTTCTTGCATTGATGCAAGGTTGCTAATTTACATTAGCTCCGGAGAACTGAGCTTTTGGCATTAATAATTTTTTTAATGTTAAAGTAGTTTGTTGGGGCCTCAGAATGAAGATTAACTTTTTTAGTCTATTTCCATGACTAATGCCCTTTTAACACAATTTGTATTTTGTCTTCCATTTTCTATCACAAGAATTATGCTTAGTTTCTTATTTCAACCATCTCGCGCTATATTGTATTCTTTTGTACTTCTAATACATTTCTGCCTTCCTTACTATTGTTTTACATTTCTCATTGAATCAAGAAAGCAGACATACTTGAGCAACACTCTTCCTGTTTTGAGGTAATTATATTTTCAGCTAGTAAATTCAGGCCTGAGAGCCAAGTTTTTCTTTGAATAGTGTCCCTATGGGTGCTCATTCTAGGTGCACTTGCGCCCCATGTGCCTCAGATCAGAGATTTTTAGGTAGCCATGTCTTTTCAGCCTGGACATGCACCCCCTGCAGCCTCATGCGGTGCACTGAGGCTATATAGCCTTAGTTCGTTCTCAACCGCCTCAGCCTGCAATGGAGCCTCAGCAGCATCCAAATAGAGCTTACCTAACCTGTATATTTCTCTTGTCCTTCTTAGTTAGTTTTAGTTCTTAGAGTTTCCTTTGTGTGAGTTAGCTGTAGTAATTTTATAGATTTCAAACAAATAATCGTTTAAAAAAAAAAAAAAAAAAAAAACCAAAACCTTGACTTTATACTTTTAGGATAAGGACTGTTATCTACCTTTATCTATTTTTCTTTTTTTCTCCCCCTCAAAAAACTTAAACCCAGGGAGGTTATGCCCAGTTCTCCCAGGTCTCTCTGGATGCTGGTTTTCAGAGGGAAGTTGAAAATACAATTGGGGACCTTCCTTTTGATGGATCAAAGTTGTTTGTGGAGGAAAATGCTGAATCTCTGCATGCCTTAAAAGATGCTAGAGCCACTTTGCACTGTCTGGGAATTTATGCCCCTGCACAAAAAAGAAAGTTTAGTATGTCCCAGACAGCACAGAGATCTCGTCCCACCTAGTTTCCCACCTCCCAGAGATATTACAAACCCCAGCATAAGAGACAACAGTTTCAGTAGAAGAGACTAGCTACTTCTCGGGCATTAACCTCACAACCCACAACTTCAAAACATTAGTTTTGATGGGCGGGTCAAGGTGCTGAGTTACCATCTCCACTCTTACTGCTGCAACAATCTGCATGTCTCCCTCACTTCAGCGATTGCCTTTCTCAGTTCCATCAGAATTGGGAACATACCACTATGGATAAGTGGGTGTTGGAGATCATGTCTCCATCCACTTTACCTCCCTTCCCCTGCCCCCCATCCCACCTTCAGGAATCCCTCTCATGAGCATGTTTTGCGACAGGAAGTCGACTGTCTTCTGAATCTGGGTGCTATAGAACCAGTTCCCATGCAACACAGGGATGGGATTTTATTCCAGGCATCTCCTGATTCCAAAAAAAAGAACAGCAGTTGGAGACCTATTCTAGATCTAAGTTTACTCAATAGATTCATAAAGATTCAGAGGTTCAAAATGGTTACTCTTGCAGCAATAATTTCATTATTGGACCAAGGGGATTGGTTCTAGGTCCTCTACTTTCAAGACATTTACTTCCCTATAGCGATCCACTCCTCCCACAGAAGGTTCTTATGCTTCACTCTGTGTCAAGAGACTTTCAATACACAGTGCTTCTATTTAGTCTCTTCTCTGCACCCAGAGTGTTCTCAAAAGTTCTTTTTGGGTCGTAGCAGGTCATCTTCACAGATAAGGAATTTTTCCCATACCTCAACAATTGTGAGACTACACATGTGCTGCCTCCTGGGGTAGCTCAGAACTGTTTATTTGCCAAGCAAACACAGTTAAAGAAAACTATTCTCCACGCCTCCAGTAGTTTTTTAAAAAAACAGCAAACCCTGAGATGCTGCTCTCCTTTGGTGGAGTCCAGACCTTCTGTATGCATTTATCCCAACTCCTTTGATATCCAAGGTGCTATGCAGGATAAGGAAAACCAAAGCAAAGTTATTCTTGTAGTTCTGAGGTGGCCGAGACAAACATGGTTTCCTTACCTCACTCAGCTGGCTCTTTGTCAACTGATTGCTCTCCAGACCATCTGTTCTCTCAGGATGCCAGTCAAATCCATCACCCCAGACTCAGGGTTCTTTGGCTCAAGGCATGGCTGATAGATGGCTTGCAGGGTTAGAAACAACCTATTCTGAGGACGTAAAGAGAGTACTGTTACATAGCAGGAAACAATGTACTTGGGGCAAACATGCCAAAACGTGGATGAGATTCAAAGACTGGTGTGACCTAAAACATCTTTCACCTAAATCCTCTCCATTATCATTTGTACTAGATTACATTTTAGAGCTAAAAATGACAGGGTTATCTTTAAGCTCCATAAAAGTGCATTTAGCAGTTATTACGGCTTTCCATCATATGGTACAGGGTTTTTCCATCTTTGCTCATCCTACAAGAAGGAGGTTTCTCAAAGGACTGGACTACCTCTTCCCACAAATCAGATGCCCTACGCTGGCATGGAACCTCAACTTTGTACTCAGATGTCATACGAGGCCTCCCTTTGAACCTATGGACATCTGCTCCTTTCAATACCGGTCTATGAACACTGAATTTCTAGTAGACATTGCTCGAACAGTGAGTGAGATAGGGGTGCGCGGATGGCATACTTCACAGTCTTCTTTAAGACTAAGGCCACACTGCGACTGCATTCCAAGTTCCTGCCAAACGTATCTTCGGACTTCCACATAAATCAGCCTATACATCTTTCAGTTTTCTTCCCTAAACCACACCAGGATAAAGGATATGTGACACTACATACACACGAGGTCTGGAGAGCATTAGCCTTTTACTGAGACAGGACTATTTCCTTTAGGAAATCTCCCAGATTATTTCTCTCCATTGCAGACAGAACTAAGGGATCTCCAATTTCCAAGCAGAGATTCTCTAGATGGATATCTGGCTGCATTACCTACTGCTATCAGTCTCATGATGTTCAGCCTCCCTGTAGAGTACTAACTCACTCCCATGAGATCCCTCTCCACTTCAGTAGGCTTTAAGAATGTTCCCGTCGTGGAAATATGTAGAGCCGTGATTTGGGAGCCTATTCATACATTTCTGAACACTATGCAGTCACTCATACTTCAGCTTCTGATGCTATATTTGGGTCTACTGTTTTATCTTCAATCTTAGATTTTCTCCTAAACCCCACTCCTCCGTAGAGGTTACTACTCGATAATCACTACAGTGGAGCCCCTATAGGCACACTACTCGCAGAAGAAGAGGTTACTCAACCTGTGCAGTAACTGTGTGGTTCTTCAACATGTGTTCCCCTTTGGGTGCTCAACTATCCAGCCTCCTCCCCTCTGCTTCAGAGTTCTTTACGGCATTCTCTGTGGTAGAGAAGGAACTGAGGGCGGTTTGCCCATGCAGCTCTATATAGCCTTAGTGCAGGGCACAAGGCTGTGGGGGACTCATGAGTGGGCCAAATGGACACAGCTACCTAAAATCTCTGATCTGAGGCATATTGGGCGCAGCGCGCCTAGAGTGGAGCACCCATGGGGGGGACATCTTGAAGAACCACAGTACCTGCACAGGATGAGTAACCTCTTTATTAGCCCACTAAATCATTTTCTTTTTTGAAGCACTGCCAAGTTACCATTATTCTACTGAAATATTTAAATACTTTAATTTTTAAATGAAAGGTGATGGAGTTATAAAACAAAAACCAAAATAGGCTCTCAATTGCTGAAAGACACCGCATTAGAAAAAAATAATGAAACTCCTTTTAAATCCTTCCTTCTCCGCACAGCCTATCACCTATTCTTTCTTTTCTCCCTTCCCTCTCTGTCCTTTCCCCGCTGTCTTCCTTTCCTACAAGTTATCAAAGCTCTAGTTCCCGAATTAAGTACAATATATAAATATGTATTTTGATACTGTTTCTTTAAAACAGAATAAGAAAGGATACATAGCATTCTCCCAGTGTGCATTTAAATGTCTTCGATATTCTTGCTGACCTGTAGTGAGGCCTGGGGCCTTAGTACTAATTTTAGGGCCAAATTCTGCATTTAGCTATGTTTGCAGGGTTCTACCAATGTAATTGGGACAGAATTTAGACATACAGAAACTTTTGCAGATAGTGTTAGATGAAACCAGTTAGCTTGACTTTCAGTTACTGAGGTGAATTTGCAGGGATAGCAGTTAGAAAAACAATTTTATTTCTAAATTGGAATAATTTGATATGAAAATCAAAACACAATGAACTTTAGTGCTATTATGCTATTTTTAGTCACCTTTCAGAGGAAAACTGCCTTCATCCCAGCTTTATCTGGCAACTTCTATAATACAATATAATTTTTGATATAAAATTAGGATACTAGAGAAATTAGGTATAATATAAAATTTAAATTTAAGATTTTAGTTAAAACACAAATAATGCCTTACTGTGAATACATTATTTTCCATATTAAATTTATAAAACCCTCCATTTTTTATTTACCTGCAACTGCTGCACAATTTCCAGTGTACTACCACAAAGTGCCATGTAATTCATCATGCTTTCCACAGCATAAGTAGAACCTTGATTATAATTACTGCTTTCAGTTAACAATAATTGCAATCAAATCATTTTATTCCTTTTTCAAAGTCATTGAATAATGTAAAAGTTGAAGTTTTTGTTTTGTTTTTCCTTCCCACCAAAAAAAGATTCCGGTAGCTCCAGCTGTGCCTGCTGTTAGTTTAGTTCCACCATCATTTCCTGTCACAATGTCTGTCCCACCTCCTGGGTATAGTTCAATTCCACCACCTCCCTTCTTGCGGGCAAGTTTCAACCCTTCACAACCACCTCCTGGTAAGTTACCATTTTAATTGATTGTATAATAAGTATATCCATGCTAACTGAGTATCTTAAACATATGTTATGTGCTAGGATTATTTCTGACTCAGAGATTCAGGATAGAAGCCTTAGTTAATTCTTCACATTTTCAGTCTAGTTTTAAAAATCAAACTCTTTGTTTTGTTGTTTCATTTTACCATTTTTCTTCAACTGGAAAATTTGACTATTAGGTGAAACTGTAATTGTTCCTTTGAGTATTGCTGGTATAAATGACTACTTAAAGAGGTACATATACATCCTCTGTGTTAAAGTTGGAGTCCTCTGGAAAGCAGTAACCATTGCTGATTCTCTTCCTACACCGCTGACTTGCCAGTTTGCAATGGGACATTCTTCTCCTGATTAGTGCAGATTAGTGAGGTTTAACTATTTTTATTACTGAGGTTTTATTAGAGTTGGCCATATTATTAAATTATTTCTGATTGTTCATATAGGTTTTATGCCTCCCCCGGTTCCACCAGTCCCACCGCCTGTTGTTCCACCGCCTGTTGTTCCACAAGTAGTCCCAACATGTGAGTTGGTTTGTCTTTTTTTTTTTTTAAAGAATACTAATTTTGTGTTAATGAAAGTCTAGCTATTTGATGTACTAATTCTTACTCCAGGTGGATTGATATAAATCAGCAAGCAGAAAACTTTGATTTAAATAATAATCAATTTTAATCTTGTTTTGCATTTGTACTTTTTAGTTACTTTCTTAAAGAAAAGTTGATTCTCACTGGTTGATAACCATTAAAACATGTTGATTTGCAACTAAATATAGCCTTTACATTAAATTTGGCTCTTTTTGTTAACCAGGAAATACACTAAATCAATACACATTTATTTAAGCAATTATATAGCTTAATTTGCATTTCTTTAGATTCTTAATCTTTACATTTTTTATGATGTTAGAAAATGGTAACTGATGCATTTCTTATTTACTAAATTAATTTTTTACTTGTGATTTGTGTCATGCTCTATTTGGAAATGCGAATTCAGTTAAAAATGTACAAAACCAATATTTTAAAATCATTTTTTTATTAAATAAAGTCATCTAAAATATGATGGGTACATAAGAAAAAAAACTTTATCACAAAATATATCAGAACATGTTTTGCATTTAAAATGAGCTGATTTATTAAACAAAGTATTATCTCTAGTTAGTGAATTGAACTGATTGTTTCTGGTCACCATTGTACTTCAGAATTATAGAACAAGTAGATCTCATCCTCTCACACTTAGTTTTTATTTATAGATTGGAAGAAGAAAACAAGCTTTCCTGCATTTTCAACTCCCAGTTGGTTTCTTAAGTTTGAATGAACTAGTCATTGAATTGAACTAGTGGAATAAACTGAAATGAAGAAAATATTCTCTCTGCATCTGCAGAGGAGGATACTGTCATCAAAAGCTGGTGTAGCACTTCAGCAAACTGTGGTTCCAGGTGCATAGCCAGTAGTGACTTTCCCATAAATTCAGTGGTTCAACGTTCTTTAACTTTCAGCAGCAAACATGTACTGTTCAGTATTATTGTTTTAATTTACTTTAATGATTTTGATAGAGTATGGTAAGTTTAGGCCTCAACATAGATTGTCATGATTTCAAATGCAATTTTAAATAGATTTATTTAAAAAAAAAAAACCACCCTGTATTTAAGTAAATTTAAATTAAATTAAATTTAAATTAAATTTAAAAATAAAAATCATTGATTTTTATCTACCCTGTTCTTAGTTAATAGTATACAAATTGTGGTAGATACCGTGTTCTATGGGGTATTCATATGCTGTTTTCACCATTGTATTGAGAACAAGTTCATAGTACATAATTTAGTTGGTCTAATAATATTCACAAACAGTATATTTAATATTTTCCCAGGAGTCATTGAAGAAATTATTTGCAAATTAATTATTTATTATTCATACATACATTGTTTAATCAAGAGTTGTATAGGTGATCAAATAATACTCATTAAGCAAATTATTTCTGTATTTTTCTTTCAGTCATTGAATTCGTTATTTATGATTTATTATTTTCATTATTCAATCTTTTCAAGTCGGCTACATTCAATTGTTCGAATATTAAAGCCTGTTGAAACCAGTGTTGTTTGCTTCTGTATTTATTTATAATCTACTACTTAAGAGTGAAGCATTGGGAAGCCTATAAGGATTACAAATGTTTTTTGAAAAACAATTTATTCCGAAGTGAACAATATCGTTGTTTTTGATGACCATATTTGATGATATGCTCTAACAATAAAGCATCTGCCAAACTGAATTGGCAAGAAGTACTGAGATTTTTTTTGTTTTGTTTTGTGTTTTTCCCCTACAGCTCTAGTGCAGCCTCCTCTATCCATTACTCAAGAGACAATGAAAGATGTTCCTTTTGGTAGCCTTGTTTTACCAGTTGGCACTGTTTCTAGCAGTCTAGCCACTCCAACATTATCAGCAGGAAGTGTTTTTAACCCTCTTCCAAGCAACAAACCAGAGTCAGAAGAAAAAGGATCACATCTTGCAGACGTTCAGATTTCTTCCAGTGAAAACAACAGATCTGGTAAGAAATGTCTGTATCCTACATATTTTGCCGCATATAAATTGACTTTATATATACAAGTTTTTAAATTAGCTCATATGTATTGTGTTAACTCATCCTAATGTAGGATGTTTTGGGTTAAATATGGTCTTTGATTTGGGATTAAATTTGTGACAGTGTGCTGATAATGAGCTTTTTTAGCATCTCTTGATCACTCTTTTCCAGTAGGTCATGTCCTCAGTGGAAAAGAAATTTCTCTCCCACATCTGTGTGCATATAGGCTAGAGAAGTAAAGCTGGGCCAGTTAAGAGTATTTTAAAATAAATCCTTTAATTTTTTCTGAAAGTGGAATGGGACAAGAACTGGTAGTTAAGTTAATATATGGTTTTAAGCATTCATTCAAATATGTTCACGTTTTTACTTGTGTAGGCTTGGTGAGCGTGTAGTTTTCCCTGCCCCTTAAAAGCTTCTGCTCACTCTTTACTATATAAAGACATCGGTTTCCATGACTTAATGCCCAGTCTTCACCATTGTGACTAAAAAAATCTGTGTTCATAACTCAAAACTATTACAAATATTTAAATAAGTAAATATTCCAACTATGTATATATTAACTGAAATAATGGATTAAAATAGTATTTGTATTCCAAACTGTTTAATGTTATGTTGACTTTTTCAGTCTACTAAATATTTTTATTGTATTTCAGTTCAAAATGATGTCTCAAGCAGCTCTGGACTTGCGGGTGGAGTGCAGCCACCCGGTGTCTCAAGCAGCTCCGGACGTGCGGGAGGAGTGCAGCCACCTGGTGTCTCAAGCAGCTCCGGACGTGCAGGAGGAGTGCAGCCACCTGGTGTCTCAAGCAGCTCCACACTTGCAGGAGGAGTGCAGCCACCCAGTGTCTCAAGCAGCTCCGCACTTGCAGGAGGAGTGCACCCACCCGGTGTCTCAAGTAGCTCCGCACTTGCGGGAGGAGTGCAGCCACCTGGTGTCTCAAGCAGCTCTGGACTTTTGGTGGGAGTGCCGCCACCAAATGTCTCAAGCAGCTGCGGACTTATGGCGGGAGTGCCGCCACCGAACGTCTCAAGCAGCTCTGGACTTATGGCGGGAGTGCCGCCACCGAACGTCTCAAGCAGCTCTGGACTTATGGCGGGAGTGCCGCCACCGAACGTCTCAAGCAGCTCTGGACTTTTGGCGGGAGTGCCGCCACCGAATGTCTCAAGCAGCTCTGGACTTTTGGCGGGAGTGCCACCACCCAATGTCTCAAGCAGCTCTGGGCTTCTAATAGTGCCACCACCCAATGTCTCAAGTAGTTCTGGACTTCTGGGGATGCAGCATCCAGCAGGGATTCAAAACATACCCCATTTAAATATTAGTAGTCAAAGGATGCCTGGAATGCCTCTCTTAGATCTCCGTCCAGGACTAATACCCCAGTCACCTGGACCAAGATTTCCATTAATGCAGCCTGGAATGCCACCACAGCGTAATATCCCTCCTCCAACAATCCTTGACCCATCCCTTCATCCACCACCTAGAGGTCCTTTTCCTCCTCCAGGAGATCTTTTTAACCAAACAGAGAGACATTTTGGAACACCTGGAAGACAAAATGTTGATAGCATTTCTAATCCAGAAAAAAGGTTACCACTTGGCGGTGATAGCATTCAACAGGAAGGAGACCGAGACTATCGCTTTCCACCAATGGAAAACAGAGAGACTCTTAATAGGCCATCTCCAGTCGATGTCAGGGATTCTATTGGACGGCCACCAGTAGATCCAAGAGAGGGTCTTGGAAGACCTCCAATAGATGGAAGAGAACATTTTGCAAGACCACATATAGATATGAGAGAGAATTTTGGAAGACCAGGTGTGGATAATATTGGTCGAAGAGAGCATTTTGGTTTCAATTCAGAAAAGCACTGGGGACAGAGAGGAGATTATGATGAAAGAGAACACAATGTTTTCCCTATCTATGGTGGTCCTAAAAGCTTCCATGAAGATAGAGAGAGATTTCGGCATGTAAATTACAGATTTGATACTAGAAGTGGTCCCAACTGGAACAGGGGATTTGAACAAGATGCTCACAGAGATTTTGATGACCGTAGAAGACCCTGGGAAAGACAGAGGGATAGGGATGACAGAGATTTTAATTTTTGCAGAGAAATAAATGGAAACAGATTTGGAAGAGACAGAATGCAGAACAACTGGATCCCTCCTCCACATCCAAGGGTTTTTGAATATTTTGAAGGGGCCACTTCACAGCGCAAAGCTGATAATATACCCCAGGTAAATGGTGAAAATACAGAGACAGAAAGTCAGCCACCAAATGTGCAAGTGCAGAATGATCCAGAACTTTATGAAAAACTAGCATCTTCAAGTGAGATAAACAAAGAGAAGAGTGACACAGAAGCTGATATAGAAAGTGAACCAGTGGTAGAAAGCACAGAAACTGAGGGGACATAATCATCACTCAGTAGGTAAAAGATACCTTTTGTAAAGTTGTCATCTCTCTGTAATAGATAAATGGCTGACTGGACCTTAGCAGTTCACTTTTGTCTGCCAGAATTAAGTTAATCTGATGTTGATGTTCATCTTTCACTTAAATAACTGTACAACTGACTTGTATAGAACACTGTTCTTAATTTGAACATGGTAGGTAAACATTTTTTATTTCTCTGATAAAACACAGACTTGCCCCCAGTAGCTTTTAATGTCACAATGATAAATAACAGCTTGTCAAACAGAGACTTCCTATGGAAGAAAATGGAATTTTTTTAGATACTACCATTAGGTTGGCTGTGGAAATTGTTATACTTGAAAGCAGGTGCTGGTGTATCTTGTCCACGTTTTTAGGCTGCTGCAGAATTTTAAACATAGACAAAGCTGTGATATTTTATGTTCCTGAAATTTGGCTCACCAAAAAAAAAAAAAAAAAAAAAAAGAAAGAGAGAGAGAAAAAGAAATAGCCCTGGTCATTTAAGGAGCATAATACAGAGATTAAAAGTGTTTTTGTAAAATCCACACTATAGTCTCTGTTTTCTCTAAAGTAAGTGTCTGTGATTTGTTCCTCGTACTGCAGTGGGTTAAAAAAAATGATAAAAGTACATTTTAATGTTGGGTGCATTTTGTTTTTAGATGCCAATAAAGCATATTTGTTTGATAACAGTGTTCTAGGTATTGTATTTTTTTTTTTTTTAAACCTACAAGCTATGAAAACCTGGATCAGCTGTGGTATATGCTTTAGCTAGTTGTTGCAAAAGGTTTATATTACTCTTGTAAGACCAATGCAACAATTATATGTGCTAGAAAGAAGCATATGCTTTTATATTGAAAATCATGCAGTCACATTAGTTTGTATATAACATGTATGTAAATATTTGTGTAAACTGTAAGTAGATATCGCTATTTCTGTGTGTGCGCACAGAATAATGAAGACAGTTTAATAAAACTGAAATGAAATTAGGTTATAAAAATAAGTCTTTCACCTTCTCGAGGTTGCAAGATATTTCGAGACATTAATTTGATTAAATAAATCAAATTTACATTTATTTACTCACTCATAGTTAGGTACTGTTCTTATTACTTTTAGAAGGTGAAATGAACATGATATACTGTAAAGATATACAGTAGGATTTTAGCTTACTTTTTAAAAAATGTAGATATGCATGAAGCCAAAATTGAAGCAAATGTTTACCTTGTCTTACTTTGTAATATATTTGGTGTTCTGGATAGATAGTGGTAGCATTAAAGTACTTTGTGGTTATTTGTTTGCAGTGAATCTCTGAAGTCCAGAATTGTTGCATGAAAAGTATAAAGCTGTTGTTGGTTTTTCTATATAAAAAAAAAAAAATCTGTGTGTGAATAGAAATGAAGTGGGCTTTGTGCTTTGGAGGCTTAATACTGAAATAGAACTTCTAAGTAAAATGTTGAGATGAATTGGCCTCCTAAGTAATTCAGTAGCACTACTCCTTTCTGTTTCACCTGTTTTGCTTCTTGCGTATCTTTTTTTTTTTTTTTAACCAGAGGTGGAAGATTTGATGATATAGTAATGAAAGATTTTCAGCTTGTCCCACTTGCAGTACATTTATTCCTCTCCCCTTCCAAAAAATCTGTTGTTAAATTCACTGAGTCCAAAAGCATCCTCTGACTAAGTTTTGAAGAGAGAATTTTCTCTCTAAGTAAGTTCTGAGAGTCAATAATGATACTTTCTTCTGTAGAATGGAAAATATTTAATTCAGGGAAATCTGAGTTGATCTTTACTATTAAAGAATACTAATTTATCGGTAGTTTGTATTGTGTTAAAAAAATTCCCCCAAGGATATGAAGTGTGAGGATGTCACTTGGGAGTTTGGCTGGACTTACAGAGAAGTTATATGTGATCCTTTTTTGTGGTGACCTGGTTCTGTTTCTCAGTGATTAGGATTTTTATTTTAAAAGCCCCCAAAATTGCTTTCATAAATGAAAATATCGCTTTTAAAAGCTTGGATATGAATGATTTTGCACCTACAGTGCAAGTAGTAATAATATTTAGTACTAGGAAGCAGTGAGATTCAGGTGCACTAAATAAGCAATAGCATGTAACAGGACCATGCTGATATACTGGATTCCAGACGGGTTTTACAATGTTTAGGGCAAAAATACCTTCAGATGCAGACTGTGCAGGTCAAGGAACTTGATCAGTGTTGTGCCTCTCAGCCTGCCAATAATTTGCTAATCAGGCGTGCATGACTTAGGATGACCGAACATAAAATAGCTGTTTAGTATTTTTTTAAAGTCACTCCTTTCCTTTCTTTTCAGTTTGATAGAGTTTTGACATTTTTAAGTTAATAGTTGTACATGAAAAAGCTTATTCTCGTTGATTTTCCAAATGTTCATAACAAAATGCAAATATTTCCAATAGCTTTGCTTTCACCATTGTGTTCTACACAATGAAACAAAAAACAAGATAGAAAAGTTAATCTTCCTTGTCTTTCTTAAATTGAGATTTGCAGTATGTTCATTGTTTGCAACAGGATGGTGCAGGAAAATCACCACATGGTGAGGGAGATTAAATAATTCAGTTGGCAATGCTGTAAACCAGATCACATTGCCATTTCCTTGTGCATGTTTGTTGGGTCAGGCAAAACATTTTGAGACTCTGCAATGTATGTTCATTAGATGAAGAGCATAACTGTGTTAATATTTTAATCTGTTCTGTAAATGTCTTTTTAATAAATTGGCTACTGTACTTAGTGTAGTTGTACACTGTACTATTACAGTTTCCAACAGCTATTCGATTCTTGTGTAGAATAAAACTTTATTGTACAGAAAAGTAGTCTTTAGCTGCATCATGTTTCCAGCTAGAACTTTTTTTCAGACCTTCTAATTTTAGTAGTGCCTAAGCATAGAAAAATAGCCCCAAGAGAAAAGCATTCAGAAACAGGGAAAGGGCCTGAATCATATATTAGTAAGTAATTAAAGATAGAGAGTTGTAGCTGTTTAATCTTGTCACTGAAAAATTTTAAGTCTTTGAATGTTCTCAAGAAAAAGGTTATCCTCTTACAAGAAGAGAATATTCTACCCTTTTGAGCTGTTTTTGACAGTGAAGATATTTGCCACATTCCAACAATTAAAGAACCTGATGCATGAGTCTGCTTACATTTTTATTTGCATAAATAACACAGAAATATGCATGCTTTATAGTTTGAAAAAAATGATGTCAAACAGTTTTAACAAACAGGAAAGATTTAAAATTTACTAATACACATTTAGTTGAAAACCTTACTCATATCAGTTCAGACATGCAAAATGTTACCTGTTTGGACATTGTGTCCCTCCATCCTGCATTGTGATCTGTGTGAGCAGACTGTTATGCCCATGCCAGTCACAGTGTAGGATCATGGCCTTTATTTGTTATGGTGAGGTCATGTCTATACTGACACTATTTTCTGCAAGGCTTAACATGCAGTTATTTTAAGCTTTTATATGTGCTGTGGAACATTATTAGACGAATTAAATGTATAAGACCAGATTCTGATATCCTTTAGTAAATCTGCAAAAAAACCTATTAATTCAAATGCTTCTGTTCGTGAAGTTAGGTACTATTCGATATGAGTATTGGTCCCATAATTTAGTCTATAATGCACAGGGTGGGCATCACATTTAAGTATCTTTCAAAGATTTTGAGATAGCCTGTAGAGGAAATTCACAACATAATGCTTCGATAGACTTTGCAGTAAGTTGATCTATCCCCTTAAATGATCAAATTTGAAAGTATACGGAGGTTCCAAATGTCTGTAAAGATTTTAATTCGTTTTCTGGATTCTAATTCCACTGGGCCTCATATATTTCACTCACTGCATCTTTAGAGCTGCAAAAATTAGATGCCAAATTTCCTACATTCACATTTCTATTAACATATTTAGAAATAACAAATAGTGATAGTAACCTTTTTCCCATGCTATAATAATTAAAGCTAGAAATGAATGTATTTCATTTAGTAAACCTGATCAGTTTCTAAAATGAGGCAGTGTGCATCATTAGATTTTTTTTTAATATCTATAATAATGGGCAAGGATTTTTGCTTTCGTGGTTAAAATTGTCATAGTTGATTCTTTTAATTGTACATGAATTGCTTTTTTCAAACATATACCAGGAGTTCTCTGGACTTATGCAAATAGGAATATACCAAAATGTAATCTAGTTAATGCATGTTGATTATTTTCAGACTTGTGTTAAGCAAACCATTATTGAAGAGTGACACACCTTGCCTTTATGAACTTTCTGTTTTTAAATCAATCTCTTGATGATTCAATATCTGTGACATATCCTGTTTTAAATTTTTTGCTTTGCTTTAAAATATGAAAATGTTTAACCAAACAGGAGTGTCAACAGCATCTTTCTGTTTAGTATTCTATAACTACATTCTGTTCCGTCTCCAGTAGTATAATAGAAGCCTGTTACTGGGAACTGAATGGTGGCTGAGAAAATACCTGGTTGACAGAATTGTCTTAATCATAACCATTTGCTCCTCTATCTAAAGGAAAAAAGGAAGTTTGATCCAGAAGGGGGTGTTCATTTTTTATAGGTTTAGCTATATTCTGTACAAATTATGCAGTGTTTTTGACACTAGATAACAAATTGTTTTGTTATTCATTTTAAAGTTTAGACGTGAAGTTTTACAATGAAGAAAATGTCAAGTAGAGCTTCTAAAAAATTGAAGAAAACTCATAACATCTTTTTAAACAACTGACCTCCAATAAAAGAGAATCTGCTCTGAATTGGGTTTTTAGGTGATGACAGGCTGGCTTGTTCAGGTTTTTTAAAGTACCGGTAGTTATTTTGAGGTCAGTAGACTATAAAATTTAATTTGCCTTAAAATTGTACCCTTTTGTACTCTACACACACAAGTTGGCATGTAACTAAGCTGAAAAATCCCACTCTTACCATCTTTTAGAGGCAATAGTGCCAAAGATTAGAAGGGGGGAGTTTTGATTTA